TTTTTCTTTTGTCTTTTTGAGACAGGGTCTCCCAGTAGCCCCAGCTGGCCTGGAACTCACTATGTCGACCAGGCTGGCCTTGAACTCACAGAGATCTGCCAGCCTCTGCCTCCCAAGTGCTGGGATTAAAGCACTGGGTGCCAAGACTATAGTTTTTTAAAGGCTGCTCAGTGTAGGTTTTGCTAAGATTATATTTAAGCAGGTTGAAAATATGAAGGAGTTAGTCATGAATATATCTAGGCAAGGAAGTGGCAGGCAGAGGTGATAGCTATACAAAGGCCCTATGTTTGGAGTCTGCCTGACAGGTTTGAGAAAACAGGGAGGCCAGTATAGCTGAAGCAAATTAGTCGGTAATAGGAGGGAGATGAGTTGTGATAAATAACGGAGGAAAGGGAGTGTCAGAACTTGTAGGCTTGTAGTAACCTAATATAGTATCTTGTCCATAGTAAGTGTTCAATATGTTTTTGGTCAGTCACTTTTTGCAATCGAGAATTATCATTAGATAGCATTTATCTATGTATTTATTAGAGTTATATGTGTCTTCATTCCAGGGGCCTCTCAATGCTTGTGCATAAGGAGCAGCATAGCACAGTGTGAAGCAGAGATCAAAGTGAACACTGTGTTCTTGTAACCAGAAGCAGGAAACTCATGTCAGATATCATGGCTGCTGAGTGACTGCACTAGGCATCTCTACAAAGCCTCTTAGGATTGGAGCAGGTGCTCATTCCCTTGTGATCACAAGCTGCATTCTGGTTGAAGCATCCTCACCTAGGGACATAGATCCTTATTTCCAGCCTAAGAGGAACAGCTTCATGATTAGGTTTTTTTCCCCTTCCGTCCAAGTGCTCTTGCATTGTTTTCTGGAGATAATGGTAACATTAATACAGATCTCAAGTGGTTACAGGATTTGTGTTTTAACTGCTCTCCAAGATCACAAAGCCTATCCTAGCTTATACCTGGTTGCATTTAATAGGTGCTGGTTAAATGAAGGAATAAACAACCTTTTAAAAACATTCTTCCTTGCTGGTTTGCCTTCTGGGTCATTCTTCTGCTCCACATAAGAAATACCTTTATTTCCTATGGTGGCACACGCCTTTAGTCCCAGCAGAGGCAGGCGGATCTCTGTGAGTTTCAGGCCAGCTGGGGCTACAGGGAGACCCTGTCTCAAAAAAAAAAAATTTCTTTATCTTGTAGCCTGTAGCCCCAACCTCCAAAATGCAGGCTGTTGGGGAACTTTGACCACAGAAACAACAACCCCATCAAAGAGGAAAGAGGCAGAGGGAAAGATAGGGGGCTCATTAGCAGGCCGTCACAGGCTCTTAAGACACAGTGGGAAAAAACCACAGGGAAGGGCAGGCTATGTGAGTTCTTGGCTCTTAGGTCTTACAAAACAAGCTGATTGTGTAACTTGTGTGGCTTGGGGGCTAACTTAACTATGGGTTTAAACTGAGGACCTTAGTTAGGTTGTCTAAATCTGTTTTGATACTATGCCAAGGAGTTCAAAGTTGGGAGCTGGAGTCTTGACTGAAAATAAATGTATTTTCTCAATTCTGCTGGGAAGGGTGGTGCACGCCTTTAGTCCCAGCACTCGGGAGGCAGAGGTTGGCAGATCTCTGTGAATTTGAGGCCAGCCTGGTCTCCATAGCAAATTCAGGCCAGCTGGGGCTACAGGGAGACCCTGTCTCAAAAAAAAAAAATTTCTTTATCTTGTAGCCTGTAGCCCCAACCTCCAAAATGCAGGCTGTTGGGGAACTTTGACCACAGAAACAACAACCCCATCAAAGAGGAAAGAGGCAGAGGGAAAGATAGGGGGCTCATTAGCAGGCCGTCACAGGCTCTTAAGACACAGTGGGAAAAAACCACAGGGAAGGGCAGGCTATGTGAGTTCTTGGCTCTTAGGTCTTACAAAACAAGCTGATTGTGTAACTTGTGTGGCTTGGGGGCTAACTTAACTATGGGTTTAAACTGAGGACCTTAGTTAGGTTGTCTAAATCTGTTTTGATACTATGCCAAGGAGTTCAAAGTTGGGAGCTGGAGTCTTGACTGAAAATAAATGTATTTTCCTATTTGGAGCAGAAGAATGACCCAGAAGGCAAATAAACCCGCAAGTGATGGATTTTATTTTAGTGTATGAGTGTATTGCCTGCACGTGTGTAAGTGCACCCGTGTCATGCAATGCCTGAGGAGGTCAGAAGAGGGTGTCGGATTTCCTGGAACTGGAGTTAGGACAGTTGTTATCTACTATGTGGGTGCTGGGAATCGAACCTGGGTCCTCTGCAAGAGCAGCCAGTGCTCTTAACCACTGAGCCATCTCTCCAGCCCAAATGATGGAATGTTTGAAAACAAAGACTGCCTGAAACATACATCCCAAGTCGATTACTTGAGTCATCTTTCCATACAAAGAAAAAGCCATAGACTTTACACAAAAAAGACTCAATTGCTTTTCCCTCTTTTGTTGGTGGAGTTGAGGATGTGGCCCAGGCCTTTTCACATACTAGGCAGTTCCATCACTAAACTGCATCCCCAGCTCCTCAACCACATTTCCTTTATAATTATGTCCATAAAGAGATATCTGAGAAAGCTTACTAGAACCCTTTGAAAGTCTTATAACCCTATGCACCCTTACTGATTGTAAACACTTCTAAGTTGCTAAACATCACTGCCTTTCAATTTTCTTTAGGCTTAACTTTGGGTAAAGTGCCAAGTCAAGTCATAAAGACCTTCTTATGGGAGCCAGTGAAATGGCTCAGCAGGTGGGGTCACTTGCTGCCAATACTGATGGCCTGAGTTCAATTCCCAGGTCCTACAAGCATGCAATGGCATGGTCACTGGCATGTGCTCCTGTACACACTCACACACAGTAAATGTAAAAAAGATTCTAAGATCTTTCTGTAGGCCACAGATCTTTTCATCTTAAGTTTCACCATTTTTTCATGATACTGAAAGACAGTATGACCTTATTATGAATGTAATTTGCAAAGAATATGACCAGTTAGGGTTTCTTTTGTTGATTTTTAGTCCACTAGCCCAGGCTGGCCTAGATGTCACAATGTTCCTGCCTCAGCCTCCTGTGTGCTGGGATTATAGGCCTGCCACCACATCCAGCTTGTCACAGTTGTGTGCATATGTGTATGCACATAGAGACCAGAGAACATTGGGTTATCCCTCAGGAGCCTGTTACTTTGAAATAGGGCCTCTCACTGTCCTGGAACTCATCAACTATGCTAGACTGGCCAGCTTGTGAGCCCCAGGGATCACCTGTCTCCACCTCCCCAGTGCTGGGATTACAAGTGTACACCACCATTCCTCGTTTGGCTTTTTTTAAAATGTGGGTTCTGGGGATCAAACTCAGGTCCTTGTGCTTAGAAAGCACTTTACTATCTTCCTAGTCTGTTTACTAGAATTTGATCTTCTGCCTGTGTATGGGTTTCAGGCTTTATATTCAGAGAACCAGACAAGGAATTCTCAGCCCTACTTTCATCCTCAAGATTCTTCCTTTCATTTAATATTTGTGTGTGTGTTTGTGTATGTGCATGCCACGCCTATGAAGTCGGGAGAACTTGCAGGAATGGGTTCTCTCTTTTCACCATGTGGGTCCCAGGGATCCAACCTAGGTCATTAGGCTTAGAGGCATCTGCACCAGCTTGCCAGCCAATGTATCTTCCTTTCTTGTTATGGATTTTTACTTTGTTTTTTAAGAATTTTGGGGGTGGGGATTTAGCTCAGTGGTAGAGCGCTTGCCCAGCAAGTGCAAGGCCCTGGGTTCGGTCCTCAGCTCTGAGGGGGGGCAGCGGTGTTGGGGGAAAGGCGGTTTGGTTGTCTCTTAAGTATTCCATTGGTTTTTGTTTCCTGTTGCGAACACTGGGAAATTATACAGCGTAGTTTATATTGAGGTCTCTTTCCGCTTAAACACAAGTCTTTCTTGAATTTCTCTTTCTTCTTCATCTTGTTCTTTTAGGGTGGGGGTGGTAGTGTTGCCAAGCTCTGTGAGACTATGTATTTATTGTGTGAGTATGGGCAGTGCCTGGGCCATAGCAGAAAATGAATAATAAATGGGGATTATTATTCTAGCAATAGTTTGTTTTAGAAAATCAACAAATTCTACATGTAGCATTAGGACTAACATGCTCCCCACTTTTCACTGAAGAACAACTTATCCAGAGAACCTGAGACAGGGTCTTCAACTTCTTATTCTTCTAGCCTTGAGATACAGAGGGTAAGTTGTGAGAAAGTAGCTTTTTAAAAATGTAGTTTATGGGGGCTGGAGAGATGGTTCAGGGATTAAAAGCACTGGATGCTATTGCAGAGGACCCAGGTTTGGTTCCAAACACCCACAGGGCAGCTAACAACTGTCCTTTACTCCAGTTCCAGGGGATCCAATGCCCTCTTCTCACCTCTGTGGGCATTGTACAACATGGGTACACTCCCATACATGCACATAAAAGAACTAAATAAAAAATTTAAAAATGTAATTGGTGTGTGTGTGTGCATGCACACAAAGTGCTGCAGAGAGAACCTAGCTCCCATCCCAGGGCTTTTCTCACTATGTCAGCTGGTTTTGCTGGGGACCATCATTGCAAGGCAAAGTTGAGTTCTATGACACTGGAGTCCTCAATGAATAAGAACAAAAACAGAAGCACCGTGGTACACATGCCATAACACTAATGATCATGACAGTCTACTTTCTCTGTTGAGTCTGGCCAGGATCTCAGGCAGCTTCTGGCAATCCAGTCAATGAGTTTGATGCTCAAGATGAAAGCTCTCTGCCATGTTTCCTCTAGAGGAAATCAGGGTAACCTAAGTCAATGAACTCTCTCATTTTGACCTGGCTTGTCAAGATGAGCTGAAACGCCAACACAAACCCTACATCCTTTATTTCTCTTCATGGTTCATATATCCCCAAAGAAGTTGGAGGTAATATCCCCAAGTAGGTTTTCCACAGCATGAGTCTGTCAGACAGAGCAGGCGCAGGATCAGTCATGACTCCAAGCCAGCCAAGATAATTAAGAAAAGCTAAATTTATATTAAATTATCATAAAGTCCTAAAATGCTGAACATCGTGGTTAAATAATTCCAGAAAGTCCAATATCTCCAGTGAGTAACGTTAAAACCATTACACATGAGCGTGGGAAAAAATCACTTCTATTAGTTTAGGACAGAGAGATTTTGCTTTTTTTTTTTTTACAGAGTAAATCAGTGCTCAAATAGATATTTCCCAAATTATGTTCTTTCTGCATTCTGAAGAGCCCAAGTGCAATAACCTTGCCCCTTTCCAGTCCAGAAAATGCCACTCTTCTGTGTTTTTCCTCCTCCCCAACTATGAATTTAAAAACCTAAACACTGCCTCATTCATTGTGAAATGCCCCATTTCCTTTTGGAAGTGGCACTATACCTTTTCCACTCAGTGCATTGGAAAAAACCCTTCGTTGGCCTAGCCTGGCTGTGTATGTAGTCCCAGATCTATGCTTAACTAGTGAGAACAAGACTAAGGATTTAACATCTGTCTCCTACTCATATGAGTGACCACAGAAGTTTGGATTTTGTCCTTTTTCACCATACATTTGGCTACTAATCTCTGAATACCAATAACCATGAGATATTTCAAATCAGGTAACTTCCCCCTAAAAACCCTTCCTTTCATTTATAGCCCGTCATTCTCTCCCATTGCCCATAATTCTTGGAGAGAAGCATCTAGGCTTCTGAGCACAAGGACTAATGGTGACACAAAGGTTAGGTTAAGAGAAGGAAACCAAGATTTCCTTCTCTCAAAGGTGAAGAGCTAGGGAGAAACTTTAGGGCAGCAAAGTCTCAATGCCCCTGAGGAAAGCCCTTAGTATAAATGAGCATGAAGCAGGTGGTAGCATCTCAGTGTGGAGAAGCTGAGAAGAGGTGGCATACAAGCTTCATCACCCCAGAACCACAGGCTGTCCATGAACTCCAGTCCCTGAGCACTTAAGAATGAGCTCAAGAGGTTCCACCTCATGATACTTCTCTTGAGCCCCCGAGTGTCTGATGTTTCTCTATTCTTCTGACCATTTATGAAAACTTCTAGCCATTCTCTGAAAGACCATTACAGGATTATTTCTTTTAGAATCCCAGAGAGAGTACAGAATACTGAAGTTCAGGTAGGATACTATGCTTGGTCTAGGTCAGATTTTTAAACATCTTAGAGGCTTAGTTTCCAAGGCCTGGTGTTCACTCAAGCTTACAACATAGTTAAAGACAAGAGGAGTACTGGCCAGCTGGGGCACCAGGAGGGAATTCCTAATAGTGAGTTGCCATGATGGGGCTTCCAGTCATCCAAGGTAGAAATGACCCCCAGACATTCTAGCAGGAGGAAAAACAGCTTAAGCCACACCTGCATTTTACCTGCATTGCAGCTGACCAAGCAATGACTCCAGGTGTGAGGAATGTCCACTGCCAGCAATGGACAAGACACCAAGACTCAAGTACCCCCAAAAGGTTTTTCATATTACCAACACATGAGGCTGGAGGTTTTCTAGATACCCAGACCAGCTGGGCTGACTGTTCCTTCTTCTCTCAACCTCTACCCATTACCCTTCCCCCTGCCCCAGCCCCTGGCAGGCAAGTTCTCAGAGGAGCCATCATATTAGCTGTGATGGGGGAAAGCGAAGTCTTGTATCATTGGCTGCTTTAGTGCTCTGGGGCAGGCACTGAGGGTACCAGGGGAAAGGGAGCTGGAGTTCTAGGCTGACAAGGAATTATGCTAGGCCCAGCTTCAAGGGGCTCAGGACAGAATGTAAGAAGTGAGGTTTATGGTAAAATCCAGGTCAATTCTTGAGATGTGCCCTCATTTCTTAAGCCAGGTAGTTACAGACTCAGGAGGGTAACAGATCCTATAGGAGGATTTGGGAGTTTTGGGGTAGGAGGAAGAAGATGAGCACATAGGAAGGGGCCCTGCTGTTAAGTGAGCACAAGGACCAGAAGTCCACAGAGGAAAAGGAACAGGCAGGTAGGGAAGAGGACATGGGCATTTAGACCTGGCTCTCTGAGGAGAGCTTGCGTTCATGTTTCCAGCCTGTGTCAGGCAGAGAGCCCCGTCTTTCTGGAGTGGCTGCAGTGTGGACACTGCTACACTCTGACTGCTCTTCCTGAAGCAGCTGCTCTGTCTCCGTGTCATCTAGGGAGCCAGAGCTGGCCTGGATGGACACTGTGTCTGTCTTCATGCATACATGATCCCGTAGAAGGCCCCCCCGGGAGCTGCGCAGTTGCTTGAGGTCATCCCATTCAGCATCATCCCCGGAGAGGAGGCAGATTCCCTCTACAATCTTGATCTTCTCCTTGGTGTAGCTGTGGTCCTGTCCACCCTGGGGTAGAGAATGGGGATACATAGTCAGTTGGTACTCAGTGAAGGATCTCATGGTGAACTAAAACTGGAAGTATATGTGGCTATGGGGCACAAAAACTCCACAGACCAGGGGAACAATGTGGTCATAGGAAATATGAGGCCCCACCTAAGAAGGGCAGCTATGATGATAATTATCACAGAGGATCAGGGAGAACCATGGCTTCTGGTCCTACATCAACCATTCACTGGCTATGTCACCTTGGGCAAATTACTTAACATGTCTAAAAACCTCAGTTTTCACATCTGCCGTGAGGGAGAATAACAGTATCCATACTTCACAAGCTATTGCTGTGAGGGCTATATGAGGCAATTCATGGAATGTAATTGTTAGACTATCAGACACAAGATGCACTAAAACACATTAGCTATTGCATTGTTACCATAGTTTATTAATGGGACATCATGCTGATATAAATAATCCCAAGCAATTCAGTGCTCATTCAGGATTCTGAACTACTTCATGTGCTAGCTTGTTATATCATTCCTGTGGCTTATTAATGGGACATCATGCCGATATAAGTACTCAAAAACAATTGACAAGCAATTCAATGTGCATATATTCTAGATTTTCAACTATTTGGGAAGTTATTCTGGCCCTGCTCCCATGAGCCTTGAGACCATTGCCAAACAACCTGCATCACTCAAAGGATGACTTCTGCTCAGGTTTCTTCTCTTATGGACTCTTCAAAGGCAGCCTCAGTTCTGATTTCTAGGTGATTCCAATCAACATCCTACCACCACCAGGAACAAAAGGGCTATAGTTTGGGTTCTGTTTCTAGGATAGTTTCCCTACCCACAGTCTGTAACCACTGCTTTCTGCTAGTAAGAGTTCAATTCTGCAGATGGATTAAGCCCCTACATTAAGCAGATACTATGCTAGATGCCTGATGATGGCCTCTGCTCTCTGTGAGCGACAGTTCCTTCAGTCATGCAAGAGAGGCAGAGATAGATTGCAAGTACACATACAGACTCCATTCAACTAGTACACCTTCCAGGCTGAAATTAATATAAGATATCATGCAAGCTGACTCAGAGTCCTCATCACAGAAAGGCACTAGGTAAGTCAGGTGGGGTACATGGCAGTAGCAATTCTGGGAATATCATTTCCTATACACACACAGATCAACAGTTACCTGAAATTAAGAGGAAATCAGAAGAGAAAGGGTGAAAGGCTATCAGAGGGGTGAAAGAGCTGCTGAGGAAGAAACAGACAACAGAAGAAAGAGGTCACATAGTTTTCTTTCCTTTTTTGTTTTCTTTTGGTGGTAAGGATGGAACCTAGGCCCTTGTACATGCTAAGTACTTGCTGTACTGCTGAACTATATCTTCAGATCTATTTTGCAGCTCTAACTCATAGTCTACATCATGATTCTTTTCTGGGGCACCCAACATTCTAGGAACTCAAGAATCCCCAAGAGTCTTTCTCAAAAATATTGAGGAGAGCTTTCCCATTCCCAGAATTGTTAGCAGTCTATTGAACTATAGTGGCAGCTCTTCAAATATAGGAATCAACAGATCCAAAAAGTCCAAGATTACTGTGTACTGTGTGTTCACTATGCATGAGAGTCCTATAGATTTGACTGTGCTAAGTAGATTGCTTATGGACTTCCTAAGGAGTAACTTCTGATGAAGGTTACAGGATTTCAGAAGAAAACACAGGTTATATCAGACTAGGGAAATCTGAAATCTCAGAACACAGATCTCTGTGGAGAGGTCTATTTTCCATACCTAAACATTCAGCAAATTTTTCACTGAATTAACAAAGCATTGAAAAATAAAAAGGTAGCTGGGCGTGGTGGCGCACACCTTTAATCCCAGCACTTGGGAGGCAGAGGCAGGCGGATCTTGTGAGTTCAAGGCCCGCCCGGTCTCCATAGTGAGTTCCAGGACAGCTGGGGCTACAGGGAGACCCTGTCTCAAAAAGACCAAAACAATAAAAAATAAAAAAATAAAAAGGTGTAAACCTTCAGGTTTCTAGAAAAATCCCTCTCTTTTTCATAGTCATTGCTTTCAGACCTTTATCTTCCAACCTTGCCCTTGCTAGGGTCCCTCAACAATTCTAGATCTCTGCAGAAACCCAGATTATACTCAGTCTTTCTGTTCACTATAATTTCCAAAATAGCAGAGGGGACCACATATAGTTCTTATTCATTCAGGCAATTTGATCATAATTTCTCCCAACCTACCCACCCCCATAAAAACCTGAATACAAATTTCCCTTTTTACCTCTTTCTTATAGCACAGTTGATTATACATGGCTGGTTTGGGAACTGCTTCAAGCTTCACTTCCTGAGTTGAAGTTCGGTAGGAGGGGTTGCTGTAGGTCAGGTTTCCCATTCCAGGATCCGTGAGTTTGGATTTTCTGTGTCTTGAGGGGGAAAGAAATCAATCAGAAATTAGTTCAAATTTTCATGGGGAAGTTGTAACCTATGTGTGGGAAGTCGCCTCTGTCCAGGACCCAGTGATCCCAGCCTCCTGGTTTTCATACCCTTCTGAATCCCACCCCTTGAGTATGGGCTGGGGCTGGTGATTCACTTCTAGTGAACCCATTATGCTAAATATTAGATTCGTTTAACTTCCATCTTGGGTGGTACATCTTCATTCCTTCCCTCCCTCTTTCTTTGAGGGAGCCATTGTCATGCCATAAGTTTTCAAAGGCCCATAATGCAAGCAACAAATGAGGGAAGCCTCCAACCAACAGCCAGTGAAAAATTGAATCCTGCTAACAATTACATGGGTGTGCTTGGAAGGGAATCCTTCTCCAGTCAAGTCTTGAGATGGGGTCACAGCTCTGGCTGATACCTGGACTGCAACTTGTAAGCAACCTTGAGGCAGAGGCACCTGGCTAAGCTTTCTGATTCATACAAACTGTGAGACCATGAATGGTTAGCAGGCCAACTCACTATTTTTTCAGGTTATTTGTTATGCAGAGAAGGATCTTTGTTCTAAGTCTACCTCTGTGGTTTATTAGCTGGGATATTGGCAGACAATCTAAACTATCTGAGGCCCAGCTCCTCATCTGTAAAGTGAGGAATAATCTTTCTGTTTCCAAGTTAGGACACTGATACATAGCCATTGAAAAGCAAGTGGTGGTGGTATTATTATTATCATCAGTAGCTGTAAAATCCAGACATTTTTGCTGTATGCTACATTTAAAGCACTGGGAGGAAGATTTAAAGAAAAAAGCACATAAAAAGAGCCTAAATTGCCAGGCATGGTGGCGCATGCCTTTAATCCCAGCACTCGGGAAGCAGAGGCAGGTGGATCTCTGTGAGTTCAAGGCCAGCCTGGTCTACATAGTGAGTTCCAGATCCTGTCTCAAAAAAAAAAAAGAAAAGAACCTAAATTAGCCAGGCATGGTGGGGCATGCCTTTATTCCTAGCACCAAGGAAGCAGAAGCAGGATGATCTCTATGAGATCGAGGCCAACCTGGTCTTCAGTGAGTTCTGGGCTAGCTGGGGCTCCAGGGAGACCCTGTCTCAAAAATACCTAAATAAATTATATATATATATATATATGAGAGAGAGAGAGAGAGAGAGAGAGACTATGCAGTGTGAAGGAAAGATTATCTCCAATTTCAATGGTTTACAGTAGAATATGAAAAAGCAAAAATGCCCATCAGTCATTCTACGAAGAGAATTGCAGAAGCTGTGACAGAGGAAGAAGAGTAAGATTCAGGTTTCCACCCTGTCCTGCGTCAACTAGGGATGCAACTAGGCTATGTGGAGGTAGACTCGGCAAACTGTGGAGCTACAGGAGACCCCAGGTAGGCTAACAAAAACCAAAGAACATGTGGCCCCTGCAGCAAGGCTACAGTTACCTGTACAGCATCAAAGCTGCGATCACCACCAGAATCAGCAGAATACTGAGGAGTCCACCGATGGCGTAGCTGATGTGAAGTCCTTCACCTAGGAGAACAGAGTGCTGGTTTGTATACTGTCTGAGGATGGTGAAGGGTTTCCTTCTCAAAGGTGGGTAAACAGGCCATCTCCAATACCAGTCTGATTACTTACTGTGTAACATAGGCAAGATGCTTAACTTCTAAGCTTACATTTTTTCATTCGTTAAATGTAAATATCGTTAAATGTAAATAAGAAATTGCTCAGAAGACCAGTAGAGATTATTAAGTGAGAGTATATATGTATGTATATGTATTTAGTAGTGTCCCCCTTATTCAAGGTTTTGTTTTCTGTCATTCTAGTTATACATGATCAACGACAGCCTGCAAATATTACTATATTACAATGAGAAATTAAGATTAAGAGAGAAATGATAGTCACATAACTTTATTATAGTAAATTTTTATAATTGTTCTATTTTATTATTAATGACTGTTGCTAATCTCTTATTAGGCCTAATTTATGAAGCAAATTTTACCATACATATTGTATATATAGGAAAAGTAATAGGATTCAGTACTAACTGAGGTTTCAGATATTCACTGGTGGATTTGGGATGGACCTTCCATGGATAATGGGGTTATGGTGCTCATATGCACATATATGGGATACAAATATCTTATCAAATGCAGGTACACCATAAATGGTGACTCTTAATTATTATTTCTGTGGATTTAGTCCATGAAAAGAGTTTGTCAACCCCATGAAAGTCCTTACAAAGTTTAGAAAAGAAATCATTGGAATCTTAAGAGTCTGTATAAAGTCATGATGGTGGTGTACCCTTAAGATAGTCTCAGCCCTTGGGAGGCAAAGGCAGGAGGAGTGAGAGTTTGAGGCCAGCATGGCCTACATAGTAAGACCCTGTTTCAAAAGCAAATAAATAAGCATTCCATTTCCTTGTGTCTGCTTTTCCCAAACAGTCTAGTACTCAGGGCTTACCTGGAGCAGCTGGTATAGCTTCATTGGAATGTGCACAGAGGCCCAGCTCAGCATCCCTTTCAGAGCATCTACATGGCATAGAAAACCAAACATGAAGGCTTCTTGCATTTCAAGAAATTCTCGCCCTCCTCCAGGAAAGGAGGAAAGGCCTATGAATTGGGCTTTCAGGCATTAAAGAATGTATCAGGGAGCCAGAGAGAGGGCTCAGCAGGTAAAGGTGCCTGCTGCCAAGCCTGATGACCTGCATTTCATCACACTCACACTCACACACATACACACACACACACACACAATAAAAAATAAAAGGAATCATTTGCAATAATCTCCAAGCTCCAATTCTAAATATCACCTTGTGTCCCACATAGCATGGACTGGTGGTTAATGATATGATCTAGCTCCATCTACCAGGATTAGGCACAATGCTCTTTTGCTTGTGGGACACGGCAATTTGAATCGGGCCCCTCAATTCTGTACTGACCCTACTTACCTTCCTTCTATCCCTTCCAGAGATGTGTGGGTTCTGATGGTGGAAGAACGCAAGGTGGTGGGCAGTGTGTTGGGTAGCACTGGGCTCCTTTCACTCATGCTGGTGGCTCTAGGAGCTGGGGGCACTAGGCCAGGTACTAGAGAGAAAAGAGGGTTGGAGTGGGCTGCTAGGATGCAAAACCTCCAAGAGTAGCAACTGGAAGTCGACCAACAATCTTTTAGATGCCCTAAAGCCAGAACCCTCATTTATTGCTATAAATAAAAAGGTTTTGGATTCAGTGTTAGTGATTCTAGATAAATTTGTTGGCCCACAAAGATCAGGAATAGAAACAAAGGCATTGATGATCCCCAGTAGAGAATCAGGAGTTTGGAATTCTGTTCTAGCAAATGCCAAAGGTCAGACAAAGAAGACCTGAGCATGTCAAAGCCCAAATACACTGCTCCTTTCACTATATGACCTCCCAAAGAGTGATGCCACCCAAAAAGACAGAGTTGAGGCTGCCATCCTCTGCCCTTCCAAGAGCTCTGTTGTTCTATCCAACTCACCAAGGGAGCAGGGCTGGCTATCAGGTTCATCAGGACAGGCACACACAAAATCTAAGGCTCTGGCAAAGCAGAGATGGGTGCAGCCACCATTGTTCACACCGCAGGCGTTGGTCCCTGGAGGCAAAGCAGATTTGTCTGGCTGGGCAAAATAGGGTCTCCCAGTCTCACACTTGTCAGAAGGGCTACCCCACTCGCAGGGACAGTGGGGCCGAAAGAGAATAACCACAAAGGATGAAAAGGTCTAAGAGGCCAGGTGTGGTGGCTCATGCCTTTCATCCCAGCACTAGGGAGGCAGAGGCAGGCAGATGTCTTGGAGTTTGAGACCAGCCTGTTCTACAAAGGGAGTTCCAGGCCAGCCAGGGCTACACTGTGAGACCCTGTTTCAAAGAAAATTAAAAAAAAAAAAAAAAAAAAAAAGCACTAAAAACATGAACCAAAAGGCTCTCCTGTGGCTTTAATTATCTTGGCCACTAACAGTTCCTTGGGGTAACCTAGCCAGTCCCAATGTTGGTGAGGAAATAGGCTCAGTACCCAATGGCCCACCTGTCTGTCGCTGGGGAGAAACCACGATGATATCCATGAGTCCTTCCACATTGGCCAACACTGTCTCCTTGTTGCGGCCTGAGTACTTGTCAACACGCTGGATGGACTTGGTCTGCCAGTCTGTCCAGTAGATCCACCTGTCTTGCTACTCAGTAAGGAACCCAAAAGAAGAGTATTCAGCAGTCAGACCTGAGTGTCATTCCTGTGCCTCAGTATGTCCTATGCCATCTGCTGAAATGCCCTCTCTGTCTCTGATTCCCCAGGTCAACTTCTATGCATCCCGAGATATGTCAACATTTCAGGAATTACCCCAGATCAAGAGTGCATCATTCTCTCCTCCATGTTGTTCTGTACTGTGCAGCGACTTCCACCTACAGTTCTGACACTCAATGGTAATTTGTTTATAGTCCTGTTTGCTCTACCCAATTCAGTTTGTTGTTTGTTTTCTTTTTGTTTATTGAGGCAGGGTCTCATGTAGCCTAGGCTATGTAGCTAAGGATGGCCTTCAACTCCTGATCCTTCTCCCTTTACCTCCCAAGTGTTGGGATTATAGCATGCCAAGCTTTGTTTTGGGGTTTTTTCTATTTCTTGGTGTGGGGGGTGTGTGTCTTTTTTGAGATAGGGTCTAGCTATGTAGCCCAGATTAGCCTGGAACTTACTATGTGTTTAGGCAGGCCCGAAACACTCTCCTCCTGCATCCTCCTCCCAAATGCTAGGGTTACAAGCATATGCCTCCAGGTCTAGTCCAAGTCATTTCTTTCTTTTTTTTTTTTTTTTGGTCTTTTTTGAAGCAGAGTCTCCCTGTAAGCCCCAGCTGTCCTGGAACTCACTATGTAGACCAGGCTGGCCTTGAACTCACACAGATCCACCTGCCTCTGCCTCCCAAGTGCTGAGACTATAGGCGTGCACCACCATGCCCAGCTTCAATTCATTTCTTTATAGACTAGAATGTGCTTCATTCATCTGAGTCTATAGCCTGTACACTCAGACCTCAGCCAAAAGAGTGAACAGCTTACTACCCAGCAAGTAGGAATAAATTTGGAGGTTCTTTGCAGTCCTTTGTTAATTTGGTTCCTTTGCCCAGAGCCCTGGCTCAACTCTGCTTATTTCTGAGGGCAGCCTTCCAATACAATGATGGTGAGATTCTGAGCCAGGGGTGAGAGGGGAAATGTTCTTGGGGGTATACTATCAGAAACTCTGACTTGCCAATTGATAAAACATATTCTGTATTAGTCTATCATTAAGTAAATCCAAACAAAATCTTTTGGCTGTTAAAATGAAATATACATCTTTTTGGCTGATAAAATGAACTGAATAATACAGGGCTAGGGATGTAGCTCTGTGATAGAGTGCTACATCTAGCATGCATGAGACCCTGGTTCGATCCCCAGTATCAAAAAGAAACAAACAGTGCAGAGTAGATAATGTTTATTAAATAGGAACAATGATTTTTATTTTTATTTATTTATTTATTTTTGGTCTTTTTGAAGCAGGGTCTCCCTGTAGCTCCAGCTGTCCTGAAACTCACTATGTAGACCAGGCTGGCCTTGAACTCACAGAGATCTGCCTGCCTCTGCTTCCCAAGTGCTGGCACTACAGGTGTGTGCGACCACACCCGGCTAGTTTTACTTTTTATTCTTTTGGAGACAGTATCTCACTGTGTAAGCCCTGGCTGACCTGGAATTTGCTACGTTGACCAAACTGACCTTGAACTCAGAGATCTGCCTGCTGGATTTAAGGCGACAACAATTTTTAGATGACTAAGAATCTCTGCTTTAGCCCTAGGCTTGATAAATCTTCTTTGTCCTCTCCTAAATTCTCTTTCTTTAAATTTTTTAAAAATATTTTTTATTTATTATTTTTATTTTATGTGTATGAGTATATTGCCTGCATGTATGTGAGTGCACCCATGTTGTGGAAGGCCACGGAGGTCAGAAGAGGGCTTCAGATTCCTCTGGAACTGGAGTTAAGGACGGTTTGTAGCCGCCATGTGGGTGCTGGGAATCGAACCCGGGTCCTCTGCAAGAGCAGTCAGTGCTCTTAACCACTGGGCCATCTCTCCAGCCTCTCTTTCTTTACATTTTTATTTATTATTTTTATTTTATGTGTATAAATGTTTTGCCTGTACTTATGTAAGTGCACCCATGTCACGCAAAGCCTGCAGAGGCGAGAAAAGGGCATCAGATGCCCTGGAACCGGAGTTATGGATGGTTGTTAGCTGCATGTGTATGTGCTGGTTATCAAACCTGGATCCTCTGGAAGAGCAGCCAGTGCTCTTAATTGTGGAGCCATCTCTCCAGCCCCTCCATTTTTTTTGAGACAGGGTCTCATGTAGCCCTGGCTGGCATTAAACTAGCAATGTAGCTGAGGATGACCTTAAACTCCTGATCTTCCTGCCTCTACCTCTTGAGAGCTGGAATTATAGGTATGTGTCACCACATAGCTCCCTTTTCTTTTTCATAGCTCCCTTTCATTATCTCAGTGTTAAATTTTTCAAAAATAACAGCTAAGAATAATTGAAATGGTTACAGAAAACATACACATGATAGATAACCTTGACTGGCAACTTAGTGGGCCTTAGGATCATCATGTGTACTTGCTAGTTTTTGTCAATTTAACACAAACCTAGAGATAACTGGATAGAAGGAATCTTAATTGAGGTATTTCCTCCATCAGATTGACCTTTTGATATGTCTGTGAGGCATTTTTTGTGATTGCTAATTATTGTAGGCAGGTTCAGCCCACTGTAGGCAGTACCACCTCTAGGCAGATGGGCCTGGGGAGCAAGCCAACAAATAAGCAGTGTTCCTCTGTGGTCTCTGCTTCAGTTCCTGCCTTCAGGCTCCTGCCTTGAGTTCCTGCCTTGGCTTCCCTCAACCACAGACTATAACTTGTAAACTGAAACAAATTTTTCCTTCCCAAGTTGGTTCCAGTCAGTTTTACCATAACAGAGAAGCAGAACACCAGGGCAAAAAAAACCTCTGAGCATGTCTGAATGGGAGTTTCTAGATTAGGTTAATTGATATTGGAAAATCTACCATAAATAAGTGGCCCTATTCCATGGGCTGAAGTCCTGAATGAATAAAAAGGAGAAAAGGAGCATGGCCTTCATCTCTGTTTCCTGATTACAGATACAATGTAACCAGACACCTCCTGCTCCTGTCACCATGACTTCCCTGCCAAGGAACTGGACCCTGAAACTGTGAGCCAAAATAAATCCCTCCTTTAGTTGCTTTTATGAGGTATTTTGTCACAACAGTGAATAAGTGACTAACATTATGCATTTAGTGCTTAGTATGTGCCAGGTACTTGGCCAATTCTTTTAAAAAATATTTATTATTTTTATGTGTATGTGTGTATTGCCTGCATATAAGTAAGTACACCTGTGTCATGCACTGCCCGCAGAGGACAGAAGAGGCTGTCGGAGCCCCTGGAACTGGAGTCAGTTACAGACAATTGTTAGCTGCCATGTGGGTTCTGGGATTCGAACCCAGGTCTTCTGCAAGAACAGCCAGTGTTCTTAATCACTGAGCCATCTCTCCAGCCCCCTTGGATGATTTTTTAAAAATAAAATAGCCAGGCATGGTGGCGCACACCTCTAATCCCAGCACTCAGGAGGCAGAGGCAGGCGGACCTCTGTGAGTTCAAGGCCAGCCTGGTCTACATAGTTAGTTCCAGGACAGCTGGGGCTACAGGGAGACCCTGTCTCAAAAAGACCAAAAAAAAAAAAACAAACCATTATTTTTATTTTATGTGTATGAGTATATTGCCTGAATGTGTATAAGTGCACCCCTGTCATGCAACACCCAAAGAGGTCAGAAGAGGGTACTGGATCCCCTGGAACTGGAGTTAAGGATGGTTGTTAGTTGCCATGTGGGTGCTGGGAATTGAACCCAGGTCAAGAGCAGCCAGTGCTCTTAACCGCTGAGCCATCTCTCCAGCCCCTTAACTGGCTGATATTTTTGTACAAACTTCAGGAGGTAGTATTAGGATTAACAGAAGAACAGGCACATATTCCTGGGCCCAGTCATCACAAAGCAGCTTCTTTATAGCCAAGGCCCTGGAACCCCCATTTTAACAAGCTCCACAGCTGATTCTATGTACCTGCTTGAGAACCATTCCTTAAATGCTAAAATAAAGAAGCGGTAGGCCACAGTAGCAGAGTGCCTGGTGACTTAGAACCCCAAGGAAACAACCTAGTCAGGGAGGTTTAGTTACCTCTCTCTTGAGCCAGTACCTGTGTGAGGGCAAAGGGGTGGGACACATAGCTGACTAAGACCTGACGCAGCTTCCCATTGAGGTCAGCACTCTCGATCCGGTCTAAATGTGCATCTACCCAGTAGATCCTGCAAAGAAAAAGAGAGCAGGGTGGTAAATGCTTGCAGGGGAGCCCAGTTCTTTCCTAAAGAGCTATTTCCTCCTGAACTGAATTGGTAGGTGTTGTCAAGGAAGCGCTCTTGATGAGAGGTCCCAGAGTTGAAGAAGGAAGTCAATGACTCCCAAGCAGTTCTGCAGAGGTGCAGAGAATTTAGTGTTCTTAGACATCTTGATCACTCTTTGACTCCTATTCAAAAATCTGAGCCAAAATTCTTACAGTCTTCTGAAAGAAAGCTCAGTCCATGTGGCCCAAAACAAGATTAAAAGAAGAGGACAGATGCCCCATCAATTCCCCAGGTAACCTTAATTTTTTAAAGGAGAACAGACTGTCTCAGAAGTCTCTTTTACTCTCTGTCCTTCAGCACTTTATTTTTTTGAAAAAAAAAAAAAAATTTTAGCAGAGTGGGGCAATTTTTTAAAGGAGAACAGACTGTCTCAGAAGTCTCTTTTACTCTCTGTCCTTCAGCACTTTATTTTTTTGAAAAAAAAAAAAAATTTTAGCAGAGTGGGGCTGGAGAGACGGCTCCGTGGTTAAGAGCACTGGCTGTTCTTACAGAGGACCAGGTTCGATTCCCAATACCCACATGACAGCTAACAATTATCTGTAACTCCAGATCCAGGGGAGTCCCAACGCCCTCTTCTAACCTCCATGGGGCATTGCATGACATGGGTGCAGCTACCTATATGCAGGCAATATACTCATACACATAAAATTTAAAAAAAAATCTAGTAGAGAAACTGCAAATTTCAGAATTCATTATGTCCTCTAAGTAAGTAACAAATCTAAGAATCAGCCCTTAAATGAATGTGGGGAACAGGTCTCCTGGTTCAGCCAGAGGACATGCTCTGTCTACTAAAGGCCTCCAAGCACATGTAAACCAGGAAGACAAAACCCAGTCGAGGGCCAGGGCTGGATTTAGCAACTGCTCAAAGACTGTGTTGCCTCTTCCTCATCTACCAAGGAATTTTCCATCTTTTCTTTTTCCCTATGTCTGTCTCAACTGTCCCTCCCTGACACACCCCATTTCTAGGAAGCTGTTTGGCATGGGATTCCCACCTGCGGGTGTCATAGTCTAAGGTAAGGCCATTGGGCCAGCCTAGGTCTGTGTTGATGAGGACCTTCCGCTCAGAACCATCCAGGTTTGCCCGTTCAATCTTGGCAATGTGTCCCCAGTCTGTCCAGAAGAGGTACCTAAAACACAACAGTGCCATTGTTACCAAGGCATGGGGAAATGGTGCCAGGAGGTTAACGAGGATACAGAAGATACACCAATCCATTATCTCTGCCACCAGGCCTTTCTTGCCTGGATCTCTTCCTGCTCAGCATGAACTTACCCCTTTCTGGGGAAAACAGCAATGGCCCGGGGTTCATCCAGACTATTGTTGATCAGCACTTTACGGCAGGAACCATCGAGCCGTGATGCCTCAATGGTATTTCGGCCTGTATCTGTCCAGTACAGATTTCTGGCCACCCAGTCCACTGCCAGCCCATCAGTGGTCTTCAGCCCATGCCCAATAACCGTTTCCATGTTGGTGCCATTCAGATCTGCTCTCCTTGGGGACAACACAGGGTACATGAGTAATCAGATTGATTGAGAATACCCTGAAACCTGTAAGCTCCATAAAGACAGATATCAGTACCCTCCCCAGAACTCAGCATGATAGGTGCTCAATAAAACATGTGAAGAATGAATGAGTGACTTTTTAGGAAAATAGAGTGTTTTCTGCAAACTGGAAATAATAGAGGCTTTGGGTACAGATCTTGCCACAGGACAAATAAATCATTCCTTATATATCTTTGTGAGGAGATAAAGATTGCTATGTGGGGTGATTGTAAGAGAGGTATATTGGGGCTAGGAATATAGTTGAGTGGTAGAGCACCAGCCCTGGGTTCAATCTCCAGCACAAAAAAGAAGAAACAGGCAAAGCAAAGAAAGAGAAGAAAAGATTTGTTAAAACCACCCTGGGCTTTTCTATAGAGACCCAAACATCAGGGAACTCAACTTCAGGATAAAGAACATGCCACAATCACCTGGGGGCTCTCACTGAATTGCACATGCCATCTGCCTCCAACATGAGATTCTAATACACCCCTAAGGAAAACAAAGGCAAAGATCCCTATAACCAATCTAAGAATTTCTGCCATGGTAAGGCACTTTTATCAGAAGTAGGACATCACATTCCTTAGCTGTATTGGATTAAGATATTTAAAGAATAATAAAAATAGCAAAAAAAAAAAAAATCACTTAAAACAACTTTGTAAAGCACTCTAAAACTTAACACTGGCTAAGGTTCCTATACTGCAATACAGCTCCCAGTTATTCCCAATGAGCCCTAAGGGGATTCTTAGAATTCCCTTGAGACCCAGTGGTAGGTATGGATGACTCCAGGTCCTCAATCTAACATTTTATTTATCTTACATGCTAGGTTTCCATATAGTGTTTATGCATTTATGTGTTTGTTTACTTATATGTTGGAGACAGGGTCTCATGTAGACCAGGATGGCGTTGAACTAAATCACTATGTAGCTAAGAATGGCTTTGAACTTCTGATCCTGCCTCTACCTCCCTAGTGTAGGATCACAAGCATATGCCACTATGCCCAGTTTAGGCAGTACTGGGGATTAAATTTAGGGCTTTGTACATATGAAATAAGCAGCCTACCAACTGAACTTTATTTCTAGTTCCTATTTATTATGTTTTTGAAACAGGATGTTGCTATATTGCCCAGGCTGATCTTAAATTCACTATCCTCCTGCTTCAGCCTCTTGAGTCCTGGGATTATAGGTGAAAAACCACCATAACTATCTCTATTTTTATTTTGTGAGACAGGATCTTACCCAGGTTGGTTTCAAACTAGTGATTCTCCTATCTCAGCCTCTTGAGTAGCTTTATAATCTTAAACAAATGAACAAACAGTAAAAGTGTAGAACACTACAAAAAACAGGTAAGGATTAGAACTCCTATCCCAACTGCAAATCATCTTGTCCATTTAGTTGTCAACCAGAACATAAGCTCCCAAGTGATAGGTCAAAAGTAGGTCTGAGTCCCCTGCCAGTTTCAGTGCTATTCATACCTGATAACATCCAGGAACACATCTGTGTAGTAAACCTTTCCATCCACACTGTCATAGTCCAGGGAGATGACATTATTGAGCTCAGGGACAGGAACATGCACATCTGTGTGGTCGTTGGTGTCCAGTGAGATACGCCGAATAGAGCCTCGGCTAGAGAAGAGCAGGTAGGTCTCTGGGGAGGAGTCACAGGTCTTCCCATCCCCCTTTAGCTGGATGCCAGTGGGGCAGGCACAGGAGAAGCCAGAGGGCCGAGGCAAACAGAGGTGGGAACAACCACCATTTTTCAAGCCACACTTGTTAAAACCTGGTGAGAGAGAAGCACAAGTTTTCACACCCACCTGGGAGGCTCTGATTCTCACAAAGTAACTAGTTTCTGATGGCTGACTCCTAAGTAACAAGATTTAGTGTCTGGCAGGGGTGAGGAAGACAGAGTGTCTAAGAGTTCTTTGGAGGTAACAGCATCACAGAGCTATAGTACTCATCCTACCTAGAGGGACCGCAGCCTTATCCCTGGAAGGGGGCTTAGGCAGGTAGCTATCTCTCTGATTGTAAGTTCTGTGCTCTGGATATATCTCTGCTGTTGGGATAGCCACAGAAATCCAGAGGCTCTGACTCTCAGTCCCAGGGGTCTTCTCACCCAATGGCTGTGCCCGATCTATAGCTTGGATGTCCATGAGGCCTGGCAGGTTGGACCTCACCAGGATGACATTGCTGCCGGTACTCTTGTCGGCCCTGTGGATGCTACGGGTCTGCCAGTCAGTCCAATAGATATAGGAGTCAAGCAGGGTGAGGCCGTATGGGTGCTGCACTGGTGACACCAATGTATGTCGATTGGCACCATTCAGGTCCGCAGCCTCAATTCTCTGTAGAGGAGGTAGGGGAGGTGACTATTGGTCAACCAGGAACCCTCAATACAAATCCTGAATAGGTCTCATCCATCTTCCCAGGCTTCTGGGGAACAACAGGGACAGGGTTCTCACCTCAGTATGGGCATCAGCCCACAGCAACTGGGAGCTGGCCTTGTCCACAGTCAGTCCATTGGGCCACCCAAGGTTGTTGCTGATGAGCACAGTGCGGTCTGAACCATCCATTCCAGACCGCTCTAACTTGGCATTCTCCCCCCAGTCTGTCCAGTACATGAACCTGAGTGAGGAAGTATATAGCAGCTGGTCATTTCAGCAGCCTCTGTAGACCATGGATACCTACAGTATGCCAGCCACTTTGCAAAGTACTCCACATGTTTTATTTCACTCAGTCCTCAGAGGGTAACAAGGTATGCATTTTCACTGTAAGTAAGCTGGTAAGGATCAGAGAGTTTAAATTTTTTACTTTTATTTGTATGTGTATAAGTGTTTTGGTGGAGCAAGTAAGTGCTCCAGTGTCATGCAATGCCCTTGGAGGCCAGAAGAGGCTACCATATCAGTGCTGGGAACTGAACCTGGGTCTTCTATAAGAACAGCCAGTACTCTTAACTGCTTTCCAGCCCCAGGATCAGAAAGTTTAAACATTAGATTCAAATAATAAAGCTAATACACAATGAAAGAATTTGAATCCTGCTCTATGTGTATGTGTGTGTGCGTGTGTGTGCGTGCATGTGTGTACACCTGTGTTATGTGGGTACATGAGCACCTGTATGCATGTGTATATGGATACCAGAGGTTAATGTCAGGTGTCTTCCTCAACCACTTTCTATCTTATTTATTGAGACAAGGTCTCTCACTGAAGCTGGAGCTTAATGACTCACCAAGATGAGCTGGCCAGCGAATTCCAGGGTTCCTCCTGCCTCCCCAGCACTAGGGTTACAGGCACATATCACTGTACTTGGCTTTTTACATGAGTACACTGGGGTTCCGAACCCAGATCCCCATGCTTACATGTCAAGTGCTTTACTGACTGAGCTATCACCCTAGTCCTTGACCACTGGTCTTCTGGTTGTAAGGCTCATGCTTTAAAACTATATGCTATGCTGACACTCTGAAAGAAGCCACAAGGGAGTGGAACAGACCTGCAGGGGGACAGTTGGCTCTACAATGATTTACAATGGTCTACAGTGATCTGTTGGGGGTCACAGTGTTCCTGTAGTATGTACTTATTCTCCTTTATTCACCTTTACCCATCTACAGTTCCAGTTAAGCTTGGATCACTCAGCTAACTAGAGTGATAACTCCAGCTCTCACCCCATCTCATGATACAGTACGATGGCCCGGGGACTGTCAAGGTTCTGCCACACCAAAACTTTCCGCATCGATCCATCTAGGTTTCCCACTTCAATCCGGTTCGTTCCTGTGTCTGTCCAGTACACTTTCCGGCCAATGGCATCTACTGCGAGTCCATCTGTGGTCTGCAGCCCTACAGGATGTCAGAAGAGATCACTGACTCCTGCCTTAAGACATGAGATTTTTCTCCAGCTCTGTAGTCACACAGGTTTCCCTGGGCTGGGAGGAAGGCTCACCTGTGGTGATGATGTCCTCATGCTGTGAGCCATCCAGGTTGGCGCGGCTGATCCTGTGCAGCGTGCTGTCAGACCAGTATACTTTTCCTGAGAGGGAAGGCTTGGCTCAACCCATGCCCCACCTTCCCACAGTGGCACCCACAACTGACTCATAGTCTGGGACATCAGGTCCTATCAGAGAGTCTTGTATCCTCTAGCAGGAGAAAGCAAGAAGTGGAGAAATACCATGGCAGAACAGCTCTTGGCAAAGACAGAAAGAGTAGGGATACAAATTTAGGTGGGAAGGAGAGCCACACAGACCTTCCAGGGGATCCACTCCAATGGCAATGGTGTTCTTCATGGTCATGTTGATTGGGACCACCACATCAGCAAAATAAGGGATGTCAAGGGAAACCATGCGTACATCAATCCTCCTGGCGAAGATGAGGAAACTGTTCATGCCTGCCCAGGAGGTAGAGAGAGGAGGGAGAACAATCAGAGCCATTAAGATTTGAAGGCAAGCAAACTAAAGCCCATGGCCTGATGCTGCTGGTTACTGAAACTATTTAAGCCTCAGTTTTCCGATCCACACAATGGGAACAATAACAAGATGGCTATAAGGACTAAGCATTAGGCCTCGTACACATGTTATCATAAGTTATCTCTTCTTGGGGAGGAGATTTGAGACAAGATCTCAAGTAACCTAGGCTGGCCTCGAATGTATTGTGTAGCCGAAGTGGGGGGGGGGGTGTTTTGAACTCCTGATTCTTCTGCTTCTGCCTTCCAAGTAGCAGCATTACAGGCATGCACCACCCCAACTTAATACCTCATTTCTTCATTAATTCTATGGAAGCAGGGCCAATGAGATGGCTCAGTGGGTAAAGGTGCCTGCCACTAAGGCTGATGATCTAAGTTTGATCCCCAGGACCCACAGAGTCCTGGGAGAGGATTGACTCCTGTGTGTTGTCCTCCGACTCTCAGACATGAATCATGTTATGTGCATGTCCACACACATGCACATAAATTAAATAAAAATATAATAAGAATAATAAAATGGAAGCAGCCCTCTTTGAAGGACTATCATGACGCTTAAGAAAGGAGTAAAAGAGATGAGAGATGGTTCAGCAGTTAAAAGCACCAACTGCTCTTGCAGTTAAAAGCACCCGGTCCTCTGCTAGAGCAGTCAGTGCTCTTAACCGCTGAGCCATCTCTCCAGCCCCAAATTATTATTTTTTAAAAACAATAGGTTGGAGAGATGGCTCAGCAGTTAGGAACACTGGTTGTTCTTGCAGAAGACCTGGCTTTGAATCCCAGCACCCACATGGCAGCTAACAACTGTCTGTAACTCCAGTTCCAGGGGATCTGCTACCTTCTTCTGTCCTCCAAGGGCATTGAATGACACGAGTGCACTTACATACATGCAGACAATACACTCATACACATAAAATAAAAATAATTTTAAAAAATTTTAAATGCATGCTTAAAAATTTTTAAAAAAAAGAAAGAAAAAGAAAAAGAAAAGGAGTAAAAGGGGACTGAAGAGGTGGCTAATCCCTGTAACTCCAGCTCCAAGGATCTAACACTCTTCTGCTTCCACATGCACAGGCACGCACACTGGCACACCCTCTTGCAGACACATATGCACATACATAAATAAAATTTAAAAAACAGTAAAAGGACTCTAGAAGACTTCATTCACAAGCTGAGAGGCACTCAAATTCTCTGGAAGGTCAGAGTTCAAGTATCCCTTAGGCGATACCCTGACTTCTAACATCTGAATAGCCAGGTCCTGCTTCTGGGATCCTCTCATAAGGCTGTCAGATAGGTCACATGCTCACCAAAGTGGCATATCTAAGGGGGAGAGGGTATCATTACATTGTAGCTAGGATACAGTTTTCATAATTTTTTAAAATTTATTTTTTATGTGTATGTGTGTATTGCCTGCATACAGGTAAGCGCACCCATGTTGTGCAATGGCTGCAGAGGTCAGAAGTGGCTGTCGGATCCCCTGGAACTGGAGTTATGGACAGTTGTTAGCTGCCATGTGGGTGCTGGGATTTGAACCTGGGTCTTCTGCAAGAACACTCAGTGTTCTTAACTGCTGAGCCATCTCTCCAGCCCCTATCAAGTTTGGGCAGAAGGAGGTCTTGTTCTAAACAAAATCATAATTACAATTTTGCAACTGATGACATTGTTTTGAAACAGGACAGTCTTTTTCTAATATGTGTGAAGATCATGAGAAACAATAGAAACAGACCTCCACTCCTGTCTACTTTCTCCCCTGGGTCTCTCCCCTAAGCTTTCTTTCTTCCTGAGCTTCTAGCAGTCACAGATTCTTGGACCACACTTGCAGAGGAGAGACAGCCCCTTTCTCACCCAAGCAGGTTCTATCCAGATGAGTAATACTTAGACTCACCTGCTGAACAGGTCTTGCCATCTGACAGCAGGTTGATACCTGTGGGGCAGGTACAGCTGAAACCGCTTGTATTTGGAGATCGAAGACACAAGTGACTGCAGCCACCATTCTCCACAGCACATGGTGTGGTCACTGTGTAAGGAAGAGGGGCATCAATGAGGAGGGGTATCAGTGGGCAGGCTAGTGCATAAAAAGGCTGTGGAGAAGCTTTCAGGATGATGGTTGCTCACCTGGGGGCCTCTGGCGGTGGAAGACATGGATGTCCATGAGATTCTCCAGGTTCTCCTGAAGGGTCTCCCGGTCCAGCCCAGTCTGCCGGTCAGCACTCTGTATACTCTTGGTTTGCCAGTCAGTCCAATAGATACGGTCTCCATATAGGGTCAGCCCAAAAGGGTGGGGGAGCTGGCTTCCAATCAGCACCTGTCAGGGCCCCAGGACTTGTGTAATTCAACAGTACAGAGCAGGAGTTAAAAGCCCACACTCACTCTTGCAGCTCTGCCACTTCAGCTTACTGTGTGGGCTTTACCCAGAGCTAGTTACACAGTCTCTCTCAGCCCCAGTCTACCAATCTATGATATGATTGTGATAGTGCCTGGCCCAAGGGTTATATGATGGTTTCAAAAGATCAAGTATTATTAAAGGAACACCAGCATGTCTTGGCACAATTACAAAATGAAAATTAGTAATTTTACAGTGGACCCTACAGTCAACCAAGCAGTCAAAATAGGTATCATGATAATGGGACAAGCCAGTATCTGTGCTTGCCAGTGAGACACAGAGAACTCAGTATGTGACCCCATTTGATGTATTATGCCTGCCCCAAATGGATATAAACAGAATCCAGTCACAAGGAAGTATCATAGAAACCCAAACTGAAGGACAATTTACAAAAGAAAGTGCTTTTCCTTGTAAAAAATGGAAGGAAAAATGCAGGCTCTAAACCTGCTTTGCTTCATGACTGTTTTTCCTTCTTCCCACCAATTCACCTCCTCAAGGCAGCTGCCAAGATTACCAGCTTACCTACCCAGAAGATTTTCTTTAAGTCTAGTAAAATTGTAAAAGCTTAAAAAAAAAAAAAAGATAGGAGGAACAAGATGGCTCAGTATTTAAAGGCACTTGCTACCAAACATGGTGACCTGGAACCCACATAGTGGAAGGAGAGAACCAACTCCTGCAAGCTGTCCTCTAACCTCCACACATGTGACATGGCATGCACATGCATGTGAACACACACACACAAACATACACATACAGAATAAATGTGCTGGATAGCTTTAGTGTCAACTTGACACACCTGGGTTGAGGGAGCCTCAATTGGGGAATTTCCTCCATAGGACTGGCCTGTGGCCATGTCTGTGGGGCATCTTCTTGATTGTTGAGTGATGTGGGAGGGCCCAGCCCACTGTGGGTGGTGCCACCCTGGGCAGGTGGGCCTGTGTTGCATAAGAAAGCAGGCTGAGCAGGGACCAGGGGAGCAAGCCAGTAAGCAGCCATCGCCTATAGCCTGTGCTTCAACTCCTGCCTCCAGGTTCCTGCCCTGAGTTCCTACCTTGGGCTCCCTGACGAACTGTAACCCAGGAGATATAAGCTAAATAAACCCTTTCCTCCTCATGTTGTTAGTGGTCAGAGTGTTTTGTCACAGAAATGGAGAAACAAACGAGGACAATAAATAAATGGGATTTTTTTTCAAAAAAGTAAAGATCAAGAGAGGCACAGAAAGGCTGAGGGAATGTTTTAGATTAGAGATTAAAGAGCCATGATCACGAACTGGGCATGATGGTGCAGCCTGAAGTCCCAGAACGCTGGAAATGAAGCAGGAGGATTGCACAAGTTTAAAGCTAACCTGGGCTACATAACAAGACCCTGTTGAGAAAGAGAGAGGGGGGAGAGAGAGAGAACACTAAATGCAATGGGTGATTGGATACTAAAAGAGAAAAAAAAAAAACTTTAAGGGACATTATTAAAAAAAGAAAAATATAGGAGCTGGAGAGATGGCTCAGCAGTTAAGAACACTAGCTGTTCTTGCAGAAGACCTGGGTTCAAATACCAGGACCCACCTGGCAGCTAACAACTGTTTGTAACTCCAGTTCCAGGAAATCTAACACCCTCTTCTGGCCTCCACAGGAATTGCATGCACTCATACACATAAAATAAAAATAAAATAAAATGTTAGAAAGAGTGCATGGCTGAGAACCGCTGTCCAGGTGCTGGGAATGTAGCTCAGTTGGTAGAGTGTTGCCTAGCACACAGGAATCCCTGTGTTTGCTCCCCAGCATTGCATAAACAGGGCACAGAGATACCCACCTACAGTCTCAGCACTTGGGAGGTGGAGGCAGGGGGGTCAGAAGTTCTAGATAAGCCTGGGTTATATGAGACCCTGTTTCAAATAAAATATTTTTTAAAAAAGAAAAATATAAAGAATATTATTGGAGAAATTCCCGTGATGAAATTAAACACGGAGTGTGGATTATACATGTTCTATCAACATTACTTTTACTAGTTTTTTTGGTATGCAGATAATGTATGTATGCATTCCTATGTGTGAAGGAGGGTACACAGTGCACATGTAGAAGTCAAAGGACAACTTCAGGTGTTGGTCTTTGTCTTCTACCTTGTCTGAGACAGGGTCTTTTTGTTTACGCCAAGACACCTTTTCTGCAAGCTTCCAGGGATTCAGTTCTCTCCACCTCCCAACTCCTGTTAAGAGTACTAGGATACCAGATACTTATGCAATTGTGTCCTGCTTTTATGTGGTTCTTGAGAATTTGAACTCAGGTCCTCATGCTTGTACAGCATGCACTTTTACCCACTGAGCCATCTCCTCAGCCCAATTTTATCACAGAAGATAAAAGTCCTTGCTCTTAAGAAATATGCACTGGAATATTTTGGAACTGTGGCAAGATGCTTCCAATTTAATCTCAGATGGTTCAGAAAAATGAATTGTGTTTGTGTGTGTATAGAGACAGAGACAGAATGAGAATGGTAAAACAAATGTGCAAAATTATATTCCTTTTATACTCTTGCAACTTTTCTAGAAGTTGGAAATTATAACAAAATACTATCAAAAATAGAGGCATCTCAATCATGGGCTCAATGTGCAATAGTGTTAGTTGCAATGCATATTAGGAAAGTCTGTGTATGTATATGCCCAATTCCCCGTTTGCTTTCATAATCAACCAGCAGCTTTGTGTTCCTTCACCCTGCCTCAGCTCTAGAGGGCATCCATAGCCTTGAGAAACAATACCTGTTCCATGCTGGTCCCATAACCTCTAGGTCCCCCTAGCTCCTATCAGTTGCCAGTCAGGGATTGCTGTCTTGGAGGCTCTCTGAGCTGCAGGAAGCTGCTTTAGTGCCACCTTTACCTTCCTCTTGCTGCCATCCAGCCCAGCAAACTCAATAGTCTTCATGCCTGCATCAGCCCAGTATAGCCGCTGGGACCCATAGTCAATAGCTAATCCATTAGGCCATGTTAGATTAGAAGAGATGATGATTTGGCGGCTGGAGGCATCCATGCCGGCTCGCTCAATCTTGGGACTTGCACCCCAGTCAGTCCAATACATGTACCTGGATATAAGCAAAAGTGTTCTTAGTCTTCCAGTTACTATCCAGTGGGGGGCTGTGGATGTATTTGTTTTAGAGCAATTTCTAGCATATTTAAGGTCTATGGTTCAATTCACAGCATCAAGGGTAACCCAGAGGATTTTAGGATTTCTGCCTGCAATAGTTATCCCAGACTCCTACTTCACTGTCCAGCCCAGCCCTGGACTTAGATCTACCCCTGAAGGACTTACATCTTGTATCACTATCAGAAAACAGAGGCCAAAGCTTAAGAGTACATAGCATGGGAATAAAAAAAGAGGGGAAGAGAGAATGAACAAATGTGCCACCACATCCAACAGAAGTGTTTTCCTGATTATACAGGCTAAATATGGTACATAAGTTTAACAATTCTATACAACCATGAAGAAGATGAAGGTAGAGCTATGTACTCAAATGGGAAGATATTCAAGATATATAGTCAAACAGAAAAAGAAATTCCAAAATGTATTTTTTTGGTTTTCTTGCTATTATTTAGGGATTTTTTGTTTTGTTTTGTTTGTCTTAATGAGACAGGGTCTCTCCCTGTAGCCTCAGCTGGCCTGGAACTTGCTATGTAGACTAGGCTGGCCTTGAACTCAGAGATCCGCCTGCCTCTGGGATTAAAGGCATGTGCCACCACGCCTGGTTTTGTTTAGGCTTTTAAAAAGGTTTTATTTTTATTTTATGTGTATGAGTGTTTTTCCTGCGTGTATTTAAGTGTACCCGTGCATGCAATGCCTATGGAGGCCAGAAGGTGTTGGATCCACTTGCACTGAAGTTAAGGATGGTTGTTAGCCACCATGTGGGTGCTGGGAACCGAAACTGGGTCCTTTGTAAGAACAGTCAGTGCTTTTAACCTCTGAGCTATCTCTCCAGCCCGTTTGTTTAGTTTTTGAGGTAAGATCTCATGTAGCCCAGGCTGGTCTTAAACTTGCAAAATAATCAAGGATGACCTTGTGTTTCTCATCCTCCTGCATCCACCTCCCAAGTGCTAGGATTATAAATGTGTGCCACTATGCTCAGATTTTTTCCTTTCTTTTTTCTTTTTCTTCCCTCCTTCCCAAACTATATAGCCCTGAATAGATTTGAACTCACAGTCTTCCTGCCTCAGTCTCCAAGTGCTGGGATTACAGGCATGCATTACCATGCTTGGTTCCAAAATAGCCTATCATTTTTATAAAGTCAATCCCACCACTACCACCACCACCAATATTTGTAAGCATTAAGAAGAAAATCTGGGGAAAAATATCTTAAAAAATGCCTACACTGTTAACAATAGTTATTACTGAAGAGTAAGAATTTTCTTTTCTACATATTTGATTTTCGTTAAAAACATTACGTTTGTAAGCAAATAACAAAAAAAATTTTAAGGTTTCCCTGCCCAGAAAGGAGACAGGGTTTTCACTTACCCTCCTTGGACTCCATAGCTTTCCTTAGAACACCCCACTGACCTCTCTCCCCACTCTCCAGACTTCCTTCTAGTACTCAGGTCTCAGGAGAGTCGGGACTCAAAAGGGGCAATACTTACCCACCCATAGGCTCCACCACGATGTCTCGAGGACGATCAAGGTTCTCCCAGATAAGTACTGTCCTCATGCTGCCATCTGTGTTGGCCACTTCAATGCGGTCTGTACCTACCGAGGAACAAGGGTTAAAAACACTAACTCCAGGGGCTGGAGAGATAGCTCAGTGGTTAAGAGCACTGGTTGCTCTTGCAGAGGACCCAGGTTCGATTCCTGGTACCCCCATGGTGGCTAATAATTGTAACTCCAGTACCAGGGGATCTGATGCCCTCTATGGGCATTGCACAACATGGGGTGCACTTATACACATGCAGGCAAACACTCATACATAAAATAAAAATAATTTTTAAAAATCCCATTAACTCCAGTCTTGCTCATTCCTTCTTTTTTTTTTAACCATTATACTTTTTTTTAAACCATTATACTTTTTTAATTTTTTTTTTTGCTCATTCCTTCTTATTGCTCATTCCTTCTTATCCACTCCCATGCCCTAGGCAGCCAGGCCACTGTTCCATGTATATACCTGCATCTGTCCAGTAGAGTTTGTTGGTGACCCAATCAATCGCCAGGCCAGCAGGGCTTTCCAAACTGGTATCTACTACCACCTGGGCAGGAAGCAAAGCCATATCACTTACTGTACTCCTGTCCCAGCTCTGGAACCCAAACTCCACTGACTATAAGGAATGGAAGGCATCTCCCATGGAGAGGGCAGATTCCCCCTCTCCATCTCTGCTCTTCCAGAGGGACTGGGTCCATGCTGGGCCCTACCTCCTGTCCTGTTCCATCCCACTTGGCCCTGCTGATGGTATCAGTGCTGACATCTGTCCAGTATACGTGGTCATCTCGGGAGTCCCAGTCAAGAGCAACAGCACTGCGTACGTCAGCCAGTGGGATGACATCGTCGGACAGGTCCTCTGTGTCAAAGCTGATCCGACGGATGTCCATCCTTCGGGCAAAAAGCAGGAACTTGTCAAGACCTGATCAAAGGCCGAGAGGGGTCTCCTTTTAATGCTCTAAATCCAGTAACAGTGATAGACACAGATGCTCACTTGTGTGACACCTGGTTCAATCACACTTCCTGGGACCTGCTATCCTTAGCTCCCTGCTCTTCATACTGCAGGTGCCCTTAAGTAATGGTCAGCCCAGTTGGCAGAATCAGACTTTAAGAGTCCAGTGGCAATAGATTCTACCCTGCCACTTAAGTGTCTATCAGCATCATCTGAATCATTCTCTCCTCTGACTTCTCTTTGATATTTACTAGTGCCCTGACTGGACCACTGCTAGCTCCCAGCCTACTTCTGGGAATTCTATTCTGTCTCAGGTATTCTGCTTCTTTTGGCTTGTTTCTGTTTTCTTGAGGTAGGGTCTTACTATGTAGCCCAGATTTTCCTCAAATTTGTAATTCTGCCTTGGCCTCCTCCTAAATGCTGGGATTACAGACATGCTACCTGGAAAAAGCTTCTGCTTCTACTTTGTTGTCTAGAATATACCTTTCTCTTGCTGTTTTCTTCACAGCTGTAGTCAACAACAACTACACATTAAGTACCTTTCTTGCCATACACTGGGCTTAGTGCTTAGAAAATCTTGATGCCTAGTACATATACACAATGGAATTTTACTCAGCCATAAAGAAAAATGAAATTATTAAACTTGTAGGAAAACGGATAGACCTGGAAAGTATTAAATAGTGAAGTGATCTAGACTCAGATTAAAAAAAAAAAAAAAAAAGTCACACATTTTCTCTCATATGTAAATCCCAACTTTACATATACATTATATTTATTATTTTTATGTGTATGAGTGTATTGTCTGCATGTATGTACGTGCACCCCTGTTGTGCAATGCCTGCGGAGGTCAGAAGAGGGTGTCGGATCCCCTGAACTGGAGTTACAGGTGGTTGTTAGCTGCCAAGTGGGTGATGGGAATTGAGCCTGGGTCCTCTGCAAGAACAGCCAATGCTCTTAATCACTTAGCCATTTCTCCACCCCCACCCCCCCCTTTTTTTTTTTTTTTAAGAAAAAGACAAGGCCTCATTATTTTGTCTTAGCTGGCCTGGACTCACTATGTAGACCAGGCTGGCCTTGAACACACAGAGACCTGTTTGCTTCTACCTCCCAAATTCTGGGATTAAATAAAAGAATACAATGACACAAGTGCACAACCTGAATCTTAGCTTTCAATGTTTATATATGTGTATGTTGGTATGAAAGTGGGTATAGGCTATCAAACTAGATGGAAGGGAAAAGGGGAAGGGCAAAAGGACATGTGACATGAAAGCAGAAAGGTAGTCACTAGGGTTCAAGGTTATGGGGGCAGAAGATGGGGGAGAAAAAAGGAGGAGAATCAACAAAAACGAAAAATTTCTTGAAAAAATACCATTATGAAACCTAATTTGTTGTGTGCTAATTCAAAAAAGAAAAAGCAGGGGCTGGAGAAATGGCTCAGCAGTTAAAAGCACTATCTGCTCTCCCAGAGGACCTGGGTTCAATTCCTAGCACCCACATGGCAGCTAGCAACCATCTGTAACTCCAGTTCTAGGGGACCTGATACTCTCTTCTGGCCTCTGTGGGCTTTGCAAGATACAGGTGAACTTGGATACATGCAGGCAAACAGTCATACAAATAGAATAAAAATAAATTTAAAAATTGTTTTAAAAAGAAAAAGCTTGGGGACTGGAGAGATGGCTCAGCGGTTAAGAACAGACTCTTCTTGTAGAAGACCCGGGTTCAAATCCCAGCACCCACATGGCAGCTAACAATTGTCCATAACTCCAGTTCCAGGGACTCAGACAGCCTCTTCTGTCCTCTGCCGGCATTGCATGACACAGGTGTACTTATCTACATGCAGGCATAACACTCATACACATAAAATAAAAATAATAAATAAAATATTATTTTAAAAGAAAAAGCTTTCGGGGCATGGTGGCACACTCCTTTAATCCCAGCACTTGTGAGGCAGAGGCAGGTGGATCTCTGTGAGTTCAAGGCCAGCCTGGTCTACATAGTAAGTTCCAGGACAGCGGGGGCTACAGGGGGACCCTGTCTCAAAAAAACCAAAAAAAAAAAAAAGGAAAAGCTTAATGCCTCATACCAACTTTTTGTGGCCCATGTTATTCTTGCTCCCATTTCTAGATAAGCACCTGAGGATGACAGAGATCAGGAAACACACCCAGGGTCGCACGGCTACTAAGTACCAGAAATGGCACTCAAGTCCACTCCAGAGAGGGAGCTTTGGCCTCTGCTGTTCACAACATCTCTCAGTCAGCTCTTCTCTATCCTCTACCTTCTCCAGCCTGTCTGAATACTATTCCAGTACATTCAGCCTGTGGGGAATTGGTTCTAAGCCCTCTGCAGATACCCAAATTCACAGAAGCTCCAGGTCCTTACATAAAATGGGATGGTATGTTCACATAAACTATGAATATCCTGTATAAGTCATCTCTGCATTATTTATAATAATACAATATATTTGGTGCTGGGGATTCCATATGCAATGCAAATCCCATTAATATAGTTGTTATATTCATTAGGGAATAATAATGGAAAAAAGTTGATACAGGACTGGCAAGATGGTTCAGTGGGTAAAGGCACTTTGTCTTTGGGAGTTCAAGGCCAGCCTGGTCTAAATAGTAAGTTCAGGGTCAGCTGGGGCTGCAGGGAGACCCTGTCTTAAAAAGACAAAAAAAAAAAAAAAAAAAGCCATCCAAAGTTGGTTAAATCCAAATAAGGAGGTGGTGGAAATAATGCAAACAGAATACTCATGTATGAAATTCTCAAAAAATTAATTTAAAAAATCCAAAAATAAGAAACCTGCAGATATGAAAAACCTACTATATATTTTTCTACTAAAATAAAAGGTGCTTTCTGCCTAACTTTATCAACCCTCTTCCCAGCTCTGAGAAATCTTTAGGAAAAAGTGTGTGAGGAAGCATATTGCATCTCACTAAGGGAAGCAGCTGGGCACAAAAGAGGCAAGAGAAAAACACACTGCATGAATCTAGGTTCTCAGTGTTTTCTCACTTGAATGAAACCTGTTTTCCCTAATCACTCTCTCTGGAAGGGACCCAGAGCATCTGATATTTGTGTCTGTGTGTGTGTGTGTGTGTGTGTGTGTGTGTGTGTGTGTAGTATATGGGTGTATACAAATATGTGTGGGTACATGTGAATGTGTGCACATGTGGAGGTCAAGTATCTTCTATCACCCTTCACTTTATTATTTATTCATTTTGAGACTGAACATAGACCTCCCTAATTAGCTAGACTGGATGTCTGAGAGCACCAGGGATCTGCCTGTCTCTGCAACCCCAACTCTAGGGGTTGCATAGATGTACCCCACCATGCCCAGCTTTTATACAACGCTGGGGATCTGAACTCAGGTCCTCATACTTGCATGGCAGGCATGTTCCTGACTGGGCCATCTACCTTTCCCCAAGAATTTGATTTTATCGAGATTTAAGAGAGCCAGTGGTTACACAGCAGTAAGTAAGGAAGGAATGTGATATGGAAGGAATTATCCTAGGCCCCTTACTGGCCATGCCATATGCCTGAGCACTCCTCACTGGACTAGTCTCAGAAAAATTCACTCATCGGCCAGGCGTGGTGGTGCACGCCTTTAATCCCAGCACTTTAATCCCAGAGGCAGGTGGATCCCTGTGAGTTCAAGGCCAGCCTCGTCTTTGTAATGAGTTCCAGGACAGCTGGGGCTACAGGGAGACACTGTCTCAAAAAGACCAAAAAAAAAAAAAGTCACTCATCATACTGAGATCTCTAGGGCTAACCTGACAAGGTAATAACTTTGCAGGAGCTCAAAGGAAGCCAAAGGAATGATTTGGGAAGAGATGGAATCCTCTCATCCTTTACTTGTTAGACACAGAGCATCATCAGGATCTTAATTGTGGCTTTCTGTCCTAAGGACTTTAAGAAAAACTTTTATGGGGTAAGACTAAAGGTAAAGAGGCTAGAAATCATTCCCCTGCTTTCCAGAAGAACTAGAGCCTGCTTTCTGCCTAGATATAAGGCATCCTACCTAGTGAAGTGAAAGATAAGTCCAGTTGCAGGTGTCCACACACAACTGCATAGTGTCAACGAACCTTCAGCATCTACTGCTGGGCCCTCAGTCCTTAGCTTTGATATTGGAGCCCTCAGCCTCTTAAGTTCCTCATGGGCTCCCTGAAGAGTCCGGCTCTTCCTGACAAGCACTCCCTCCAACTCCTATCACTGTTCCACCCGTCCTCTGTTGACACTGGTGTCCCAGACCCACTTACTCTGGGCACAGGCGTGGCTGCTGATCTTTCGGAAGCCAGTGGGGCAGGCACAGGTGTAGTTCTGGCCACTGGGGAGACACAGGTGGGTGCAGCCTCCATTGTTGTCTCCACAGCGGTTTCTTCCTGCTCAGAGAGTGCAAAGCAAGATGGTCGTGAAAGACTCAAAATTTGCAAAGGTAATCCCTAGCTCAAGAAGCAGAGGGGTGAGCACTCCCAAAAGAACTATGTCTTATTGATTTTTACATCTGTCCCAACATTGAGTACAGGGAGTACCTGGCATGTAGGAGATGCCTCTAAATGTTTACATGAATCAGATGAGAAACACTGAAGCAAAAATCTCCCCGTCTTAAATGTCCAGCAGAGGGCACAATTAGCCTGTATCAATGCCAGCCCTGGCTTTTCCCTGACTAGAATCAATGGCATCTGTGATGAGAATTTTTTTTACCTGCAGGCTGCCTCTGGGGGTGCAAGGTATGAATATCCATGGGGAAGTGAAGTTTGTTGCGAATGATCTCCTGGTTTTTCCCAGTAAACTTATTGGCACTATTAATGCTCTTGGTGTGCCAATCTGTCCAATACAAGCTGTCTTCAAACACCGTGATGGCAAAGGGATGTGGAAGACCTGGGGACAGTCCAAAAAGACTTCAGTACAGACATGACCTGCCATGGCATGGCCCCTGATCCCAAACCTGGCAGCTGCACAAACCTCACCCTCTGCCAAGGCTCCAGGGGGCAGAGTTGGGAAGGGAGGATGAGAGATGAAAGAGAGCAGAACAAGGGCCTCACCCTGGCTAATGACAGCCTTGCGGTGACTCCCATCCAGGTTGGCCCTCTCTATGACATGGTGCTTAGCATCCACCCAGTACATACGGCGCCCCGCATAGTCAATGGTGAGGCCATTGGGCCAGAAGAGATGGGTGTCAGCAATGATACGACGTCCAGAGCCATCCATGCTGGAGGCCTCAATGCGGGGGGTATTGCCCCAATCTGTCCAATAAATGGTTCTAGGAAGACAAAAAAGGAAATTGAGAGGTGGGTAGTAGAGGACGAATGAGCAGTTAACTAGGATAATAATCAGAGGGCTTCTATCCATCAACCCATAGGATTTCAACTGTTTGAAGAATGCTTTTTTTTTATTTTAATATTTATTATTATTATTATTATTGTCTTTTTGAGAAAGGGTCTCTCTGTAGCTCCAGCTGTCCTGGAACTCACTATGTAGACCAGGCTGGTCTTGAACTCACAGAGCTCTACCTGCCTCTGCCTCCCAAGTGCTGGGATTAAAGGTGTACACCACCACGCTTGGCTTATTATTTTTATTTTATGTGTATGAGTGTATTGCCTGCATGTATGTGAGTGCACCCATGTCATGCAATGCCGTGGAGGTCAGAAGAGGGCTTTGGATTCCCCTGGAATGGGAGTTAAGGACAGTTCATGGCTGCAGTGTGGGTGCTGGGACTCAAACTCAGGTCCTCTGCAAGAGCAGATGGTGCTCTCAACTCTGAGACATCTCTCCAGCCCCTGCTTTTTATTTTTTAATTAATTTCTTTAAAATGATTTTTTTAAACAAATCTTGTATACTTTAGTTTTGTTTTTTTTAAATATTTTATTTATTATTTTTATATTATGTGTATGAGTGTATTGTCTGCATGTAAGTGAGTGCACCTGTGTTGGGCAATGCTGCGGAAGTCAGAAGAGGGCTTCAGATTCCCCTGGAACTGGGGTTAAGGACAGTTTGCAGCCCCCATGTGGGTGCTGGGAATCGAACCCCGGTCCTCTGCAAGAACAGTCAGTGCTCTCAACCGCTGAGCCATCTCTCCAGCCCCTAAAATGATTTTTTTCCCCCAGTGTTGAAGACTGAACACGGGATCAAACCCAAAGCCTAATACTAGGCAAGTGCTCTAACCACTAAGCTGCATCTGCAGCCCTCAAGCATATTTTTAAATATTTGTAGTTAAATGTCTTGAGTCAGAGCATTTATTCATCAAAACAAAGTGTTTTGAGTGCTGCTATATGGACAGGACACAGTTGGCACTGGAAACAAAACAAATGAACATCTTAGTACTCATGAAATTGTTGATACAGTGTAATATATAAGTTAGGACAAGCACCCTTTTCTTTGTCACAGTCTCTTCCACTGCCTTATGTATTTTATGCCACCTCACACACACACATTATTTCTAAAACGATTGCCATATAGTTGCAGGCGTTCCTTACAATGTCTTACAAGGCATTCCTTCAATTGATGGCATAGAATTTTTACAAGCCAGAGGCCAAGAGTTTCCATTTCAAGAGATTTTAATGCAGGAGATTTGCCTATTAATTTTCAAAATAATTTTAAGTTAATGATAATTTTTATTAATTAGGTCAACAACTACTTGTTTTAAATTAATAATGATTTTTTAATTAGCTCCATTCTATAAAAATACTAAACAGTTGCAGGGCATGGTGGTGCACGCCTGTAGTCCCAGCACTTGGGAGGCAGAGGCCTTGTGAGTTCAAGGCCAGCCTGGTCTACATAGTGAGGTCCAGGACAGCTGGGGCTACAGGGAGACCCTGCTTCAAAAAGACCAAAAAAAAAAAAAAAAAACAAAAAAAAAAAAAACTAAACAGTTAAAACTTACCTAATATGCATATTATATCCTATTTAAAATGCTTCATTATTTAAGCCGGGCATGGTGGCGCACACCTTTAATCCCAGCACTTGGGAGGCAGGCGGATCTTTGTGAGTTCGAGGCCAGCCTGGTCTACATAGTGAGTTCCAGGACAGCTGGAGCTAAGGGAGACAAAAAGACAAAAAAAAAAACCTTCATTATTTAATCTTTAATCTTCCCACATCAATAAAGCAGGGATGTATATATTTTAATTTACTTACTTATTTAGAGACAGGGACTCATGTAGCCCGTGCTGGTTTCAAACCTACTATATAGCTAAGGATGACCTTGAATTCCTGATCCTGATAAGGGTGTGTGTGTGTGTGTGTGTGTGTGTGTGTGTGTGCATGTGTCCCAAAAGGAAGTAGAGAAAGGTGCCAGGAGTGTTGTTGATGGTGCATGTCTTCAATCTCAGCACTTGGAAGGCAGAGACAGTTGGATCTCTGTGAGTTTGAGGCCAGCCTGATCTATATATCAAGTTCCAGGGCTACACAGTGAGACCGTCAAAATAAATAAAAATAAGTAAAGGGAACACAGATTGACTAAGGCTACATGGCCAAGGCTACATGGCCAGTTACTACAGAGCTAGGACACAGGACCAACTGGATACACAGCCCATGTTGTTAGCCTCATTCTGTAAGGATGGGTCCACAAAGTCTGGCCCAGGAGACCTGAGAACTAACCCTACTTGTTGCAAGAGGGACTTGGAGACCTGAGAAACCTACTCACCCCTCCATGGGATGCAGGGCAATGGCCCTGGGCTTCTCAAGATTCTGCCATAACAGCACCTTCCGGTGGGCCCCATCCAGATTGGCCACCTCAATCCTTGACGTCCCTGAATCAGTCCAGTAGAGCTTGTCATGCACCCAATCCACAGCCAGGCCCCCTGTAGAGAGAATGCAGTGGAAAACTGTTAAGAGATTCAGGCTGGGAAGATCTGTGCCCAAGTAAATAACAGTAAACTCTTAATAGAAGCAATTTCAGGGACTAGGAACCACTGTAGCCACTTTATATGCGTTTGTTCACTTAGTCATAACAGCCTATGAACTAGGAACTAGAATTCCTATGAAGCAGAAACTGAGAGAAGTCATGTTCATTTCTTTGGCATAGCTGACCACACCCCACTTCCTCAATTCTAGCTCCCTGACTCATACCCTAGAGTTTCCATTGTACTGGTTGGTTTTGTGGAGGTGTTTAAAAAGCAGTTAACAGGCCAGGCATGGTGGCGCATGCCTTTAGTCCTAGCACTCAGGAGGCAGAGGCAGACGAATCTCTGAGTTCAAGGCCAGTCTGGTAGTGAGTTCCAGGCCAGCTGGGGCTACAGGGAGACCCTGTCTCAAAGACCAAAAAAAAAAAAAAAAAGTAGTTACAAGAGCCAGGTGTGGTGATGCATGCTTTTAATTCCAGCACTTGAGAGGCAGAGGCGGTAGATCTCTAAGGCCAGCCTGGTCAATATAGTAAGTTCCAGGCCAGCTGGGGAGAAAGAAGAAAGAAAGAGAGAAAGAGAGAGAGAGAGAGAGAGGGAGGAAGGGAGGGAGGGGAGAGAGCGAGAGACAGAAAGGGAGGGGGAGGGAGGGATGGAGGAGTTACAAGAACATGTTATCTATGCTTGATACCAGGTTCTTTTTGTGTGTTCATTTGAGACAGGATCTCATGTAGCTGAGGATGACCTTGAATTCCTGATCCTCCCTGTCTCTACCTCAGAAATGCCCATCATACCTGTTAATTTGCCAGATCCTTGATACTAGATTCCTTCCTTCCTTCCCTCCCTCCCTCCCTCCCTTCTCTTCCTTCTCTCCTTTTTGTTGCCTGGTGCTGGAGATAAATCCCAGGGCCTTTCACATGCTAGGCAAGTGCTCTACCACTGAGCTTTAACTCCAGTCCTTCTGTCCCACTTAACTTGCTTATAGGATAGCCTGAGATTGCCAAGTTAGCTATTGCTGTTTGCTTGTTTGTTTCCTTGATTGTTGAGATAGGGTCTCACATATCCTAGCCTGGCCTCAAATGCAGTTGAGGATGACTGAACTTCTAATCTTCCTTTTCTTTTTTTTAAAAAATATTTTATTTATAGCAGGGCGTGGTGGCGCATGCCTTAATCCCAGCACAGGCAGGCGGATCTCTGTGAGTTCAAGGCCAGCGTGGTCTGCATAGTGAGTTCCAGGATAGCTGGGGCTATAGGGAGACCCTGTCTCAAAAAACAAAAACAAACAAAAAAAAAAATTATTTTTATTTTATGTGTATTGCCTGCATGTAGGTAAGTGCAACCGTGTCATGCAATGCCAGTAGAGGACAGAAGAGGCTGTCGGATCCCCTGGAACTGAAGTTACGGACAGTTGTTAGCTGCCATGTGGGTGCTGGGATTCAAACCCGGGTCTTCTGCAAGAATAACCAGTGTTCTTAACCACTGAGCCATCTGTCCAGCCCCCTAATCTTCCTTTTCTTAAAAAAAATTTTTATTGAATTTTTGTGTATTCCATACATAAAATCATCTTTACACCACTTTCCCCCTTCCCCTTTGGCACCCTCCCATAGACCACCCCCCCCCCGCCGAGTTCATACATCCTGTCATTTGTATTAAGGCCTATTATGTAAAGTTAGTGTCCTGAGATGTGCAAATTTATCCACCAGGGTTTAGTCAGCCTATCTAGTCTCTACTTTCAAGAAGATCAGCTCTTCCTCACTCAGCAACAATCAGCTGCCAATAATTCTTTGACTAAGATTGGGGCTTGCTGTTCATTTCCACAGTTCTGTGCTGGGTTTTTGTCTGCCTAAGTCTGTCTCTACCTTCTGGGTGCTGGGTTTATAGGCTTACACGACCATTTCTGGTTTATGCAGTACTAGGGACCAAACCCAGGGCTTAATGCATGCTAGGCAAGCACTCTACCAACCGAGGTACAGCTTCAGCTCTACAGTGTTTTCTATATCAGAATTTCATCTAAGAGTTCATTGGAAGAGACATTCTGCTTCTGTGGTTTGCAAACATTGGCCTGTCCCTTCCCTTTCACTGCTTCTTACACATGGTATGACACTGGCCCTCTATGTGGGGCCTCATTTCCTACCTGGGCTCTCAAGCCCAGTAGACACAACCTCCTCCACATTGCTGCCATTAAGGTTAGCACGGAGGATGCGGTCCAGGGTGACGTCAGACCAGAAGACCAGTTCACGGCGGTGATGGAAGTCAAGGGCAATGGCATTCTCCAGGTTGTTGAGCAGCAGTGTGTACTCAGAGCGGTGCGGGAGCACCTGCCGGATGTCGATACGATTGGCAAACAGTAGCACAGGTTCTGGCCCTGGGACATAGCACAGAAACAGGACCCCACTGGGCTTTAGAGCCACTAGATACCTATCAGCATGCACCCCCAGGCCCTCAGCTGATAGCTAGGGCCCTTTTGCCCACTAGAGCATGTCCCAAGCTGCTGCTGCTATCTGAGTTAGAAGAGTGGAACTCTCTCCTAACCCAACCCAGCATGGTTTTGGTTGGAGCTCAGATTGCAACTTTCAGACATAAATCTCTCTCTTTTCAGCAAATAGCTCAGGCCACCCAGCCAAGTGCCAACACTCCTTACCCAGAGCCTTGCAGCTGCGTCGATCGGGCCGTAGCTCATAGCCTGCTTCACACCAGCACTGAAAAGCCCCTTCGCTGTTTGTGCAGCCCTGGCTGCAGTACCCCTCCTCAGCACATTCATTCACATCTGTGAACACCAGGTAGAGTCAAGAGGCCTTCCTACTGCCATCTTCCCACTCCAACTCCTAGGCTAACTAGTAGTTTTCCTGGTCACATCTCCACATCCCCATTCACTGCCTAAGCCTGGTGGGAAAACTGTTTAGCAAGTGGTTCTGGGCTTTGAAGTCATGCAAACCTGATTTGGAACCCACTTCTGTCACTCACTCACTAGCTGTGTGGCCTTGGTAAGTTACTTAATCTCTCTGTACTTCAGTTTCCCCTATCTGTGAAATGGGAGAGACGATCCCCACTTTCCAGGGTTAATATATTGATGAAATGAGGTCATAGCCATCTGATAGAACATACAGCTGCCTGTATGCTATTCCCTCCTAGCATCTTGACTCTGCTTCAAAGCAGGCCCCAGCTCACCCTGGCATGTGCGGCCATCCTCTGTGAGTCGGTAGCCTGTGTGGCAGGTACACTGCACTGCCCCTCGCACCATCTGGCACTTTTGGGCACAGCCACCGTTGTTAACATTGCAGTTCTCCTCACCCGTCCGGGGCCCTGTGCCAGCCAAGCCAGAGTTGGGAGTTGAGCCCAGAATCCACCCCCGGCTGGCCAACTTGGCATTCTACCTGGACCACGAAGAATAGCTCCCAAAGCTGCAAGAACCAAGGAGGCCTCCCTTTGAACCCTATGGGTGGAGTTCAGCCACAAACCACCATCTGGGACTGCCCATTAGGGGCACTCACGGCAGTTCTGCTGTGGGTTTTCGTCACTGTTGTCGCCACAGTCATTGACCCCATTGCACAGCTTCCTCTGCCCAATGCAACGCCCATTCCAACATAAGAACTGGTCAGAGGCACAGTGGGGGCTTCCTAGAAAGAGACGGAGGAGAGGAGAGTCAGGTCATAGCAGGGCAGGGCTTGGGTCCACAAGGGACAAGAGCCTGTCATTTTCTAGAGTGAGCTAGAGACAGATGAGAGTCAAGGTGGGAGGGTTAGGGTCCAAGGCAGGAAACAGCTCAGACAAGGCTGGCTGAGTGTCTGCATTCATTTTCTCCCCAAGACTTCACAGTGGATGAGGGATTAGGAGAGAATAAAAAAGTATATCCTTGTACTTGGGACTGGGGTGATGGGTGAGCCTAAGGCAAAGAGGCCCCCAGTTAGAAGCAAGTCCTGCCCTCTGAGAGGAAGTAGTACAAAGGCTGCTGGTTGGAGAGAAGCCCTTTCTCTAGAGGCTAGAGTAAAAGTGAGAATTTGAGCAGCTGTTGAGACTCAAAGCCCTGAGTCTGTGTTCTAGACTATGGAGGCAGGTCAATGATGCACATGGATTTTGTATGTGTGTGTGTGTGTGTGTGTGTGGTATATATGGCATACATTGGGAATATATGGGTATGCATGCTGGTGTATGTGCATGCAGAAGCCAGAGAGGGAAACTGGGTGTCTTCCTCTATCACTCTCTGTCTTATTGTCTTGAGACAGGATATCTCACTGAATCAGACACTCAGTTATTTTGGCTAGGGTGGCTAGTAAGCTTGGAAATCCACCTGTCTCTGCTTCCCAATGCTAGAGGTTACAGGCACAAACACCTATTCCCAGCTTTTTACATGGATGCTGGGAATTCAAACTCAGGGCCTCATGTTTGTACAGCAAGTACTCTTACCCAGTGCGCCATCTCTCCAGCTCCTGCACCTGGATTTGAACCTGCTTACTAAGAAGGGCAGGAAAAGGCCAGGCCATGGGTTAGGGATGAAGCATCACCTCTGCCTAGCTGGGGAAACAACCGCCTAGCAATACTCTCTTTCCTCCTCTGCCTCCCACCCTCAACCTCAGGATATGGACCTGGGGCACCCTGGGGAGACTCCACCTGTGTTCTCACAGTTTTCTTCATCGCTGTTGTCTGCACAGTCATCCTCACCATCGCAGCGCCAGGACAGGCGTACACAGCGGCCTGACCGACAGCGGAACTGTTCGGCTGTGCACATGGAGGTAGCTGGGTAAAGCAAAGCCCTAATGAAAGGTTGGTCCCACTTCAGCCTGAAACTCCACCCTGCCACCCAAAGCACATTCTTCTTGACACTGATGTCACACAGAAAGTCTTTGTATGATTCCCTTTCCAAGATGCTTTACTGCCACCTGCTGGAAAACTGCCATGAGTCTATAAATCAACCGTCTATTAAGTGACTGGTATCTCTGAAAATATTGCCCCTATGCAGCATACAATATACACAACTGTATATAGTGGTCCTGTCTAATATGTCCTCAAGCTTTGTATGCCTCCAAACCCTTCTCCACAGTTTCCCACTGCCTTTGATGCTATGCCCCAACTCACTGCAGTTGCGTTCATCAGACTGGTCATCACAGTCTGCATCGCCATCGCAGCGCCAGCCTGCGTTTATACACAGGCCACTGTCGCACATGAACTCCCCAGAGCGGCAGGGCTGGTGGGAGGCTGGAGAAACAAAGGTCTTCTGTCTCTAGCCATTCTGTGCATACAGTGCCCCCATGGGAGACCAGAAAGCGTGATCTCCTGCCCCTCCTAACACCCCAGCCCTTCCCCAGAGAGACTGTGGAATCCAGATACTCCTCCCCTAAATGCCTGCCCCAGCTGGCACCTGTGCCCTGGCCACCCAAGGATCTCTTTTCAGCCTGACTGCCCCTCCTCCCAGCTGGTCAGAGCACTCACAGCAGTCAGACTCGTCAGACCAGTCTCCACAGTCATCGTCGCCATCACAGTGGTAGATGTCAAGGATGCAGCGGCCATAGGCACACTGGAACTCCTCCAGGTTACAAGGAGGAGAGGGTACTGCTGAGGCTGGAAGGGCAGCGGGGCAAGGAGGGAAAGCGGTCAGGCCCCAGTGGCTAGAGGACAGGGCCTGACTCCTCAAAGTGGCAAGCTGCACACGCCATGTTCCTTTTGGTCATACAGACTTGCACACTCAGGTGGACCAGAGGGAGCTGACCCTCCCTAACTGCCCTTATCCTAGCTCAGGGTCTCATGTATCTCAGGCTGACCTCAAACTCATTTTGTAGCTTAAGATAACTTTGAACTCTTGATCCTCCTGCTTCCACTTCCCAAATGTAGAGAATACTGGCATACATCACTATGCCTGCCTGGTTTATGTGGTGATGAGGACAGAACTTAGGGCTTCATGCCTGCTAGGCAAGCACTCTACCAAATGAATTACATGCCCAAACCCTAGCATTGCTTCTAAAATTCTATCCTCCCTTGCCTATCGTACACAGCCCTCTCAGCTAATCTTAGCCCAAAAGATGCAGCCCTCAACTGGCACCCAGCAGCCTAAGGGGTGGGGCCACTCACGGCAGCTCTCTTCATCAGAGCCATCTTTGCAGTCTGTGTCACCATCGCAGTACCAATGCTCAGCAATGCAGCTCCCATCGTTGCAGCGGAATTCCTTGTCCGAGCACTTCCGCATATCTAAGGATGCAATGGGATGGCCCTGCTGAGGGAGCTCCATGGGCACCTCTCTTACCATCCTCCTTAGGAGGCTGATGCTGGGGGGTAAGGTGTTGGAGGGGGGGGTCAAACAATCTCAGGTCAGGTTCCTGAGGATTTAGAATGCTCTGCCCTCCTGTCTCCTTCCAGCTGCACCAGGTCCCTTGAGCAGTTGGAGGTTGAACAGCATGGACTTTTGCTGCTATCTCCTCCCATGGCCACCCCCACTCCAGGCCCCCACCTGCCTCCTAGAGCACCACTCACCACACTGCTCGTCACTGTTGTCACCACAGTCATTGTCGCCATCGCAGTGCCACAGGCTCCGGATGCAATAGCCATTCTGGCAGGGGAACTCATCCTCCTCACACTCCCGGGGGGCTGTGGGCACAGAGCAGTTAGGCTGCTTCCAGGAGAAAGGAAGGTGCCTGCAAGCCCCTCATAAAGCCTTCTGAGGCAGTCAACAGCTTCAGCGCTGCCCTAGGACTCCCAAGGAAGTAGCCACCTCTTGTGGGCTTAACTGAGACAGGAGGGAAAAGAGCAGGACCAAAGCTGAAGACCCAAGGGCTCGCACGGGCCAGGGGCATCATTTTCTGACGAAATATTCTTTCCCAACATAGCCTGTGCTATTCGCCTGGCCCTTGCCAACACTCACGACAGTCCTGCTCATCAGAGTCATCTTCACAGTCGTTGTCTCCATCACATACCCAGGAGCGGCGGATACATTTGCCATTGTCACAGTGGAAGTCCAGAGGGGAACATGTGGGCAGCACTGTGCCCAAGAAAAGTGAAAAATCGAATTAACCCAGCAGGTTACACTGGGCCAGAAATCTTTTCCCAGCAGCCTGGTTCCAAATCTTCCTGTCTTGAATGTCCCTTGTCCTCATACCTATGGCCTGTGCTTGTGCCCCGTGCCCAAACAAATAGAGGTTCTAAGCATCTGGGAAGAGGGAGCAGGAAAAGGGAATCAGAGTGAGGGATCCACAGGACAGCAGAAGAACCCAAACTCTAAGCAAAAAAACCCCAAACCACTAAGGAAGCAGTAAGAAAAACAGGAGCAAGAGAAATAAGTGGGGCGACAGATGGGACTCAGTTGGCAGAGTGCTTGTCTAATATGCACAAAGCCCTGGGTTTGATCCCCAGCACCCCATAAAACTGGGTGTAGTGGACAGACACCCAGTTGTATCCCAGCTCTTGGGAGATAGGATCTGAAGTTCAAAGTCATCCTCAGCTACATGTATCAAGTTGAGGGGAGGCCTGGACTACATGAGACTTGCCAAGAAGAGGTAGGGGCTTTTCTCTTCCTTTTATTAAGGGTGATTGACACGTGTGCTCGATTTCCACCACTAGAAGTCATAACCTATCACAATAAGCAAGACATCCCCCTTCTCTGAGCAGCAGTTCCTTGGACTATACAAGAGGATAATTGTACTCGGCTCACACAGGGCTTTTGAGATAAGCGTATGAAAGTGCTACATGAAAGCGAAGCATTTATCATTATCACAATTAGCTGAGCTGGTTAGGGTTAATGAAACCCAGGTTGTAGCTTCGTTCCTATTAGGCTAATTAGCCACTTTTAGACATTGATGCTACAGGCCAGAGATGCACCCCTAAACCCAGACAACTGGCGTAGCAGTGAGATTTATATATATCCAAGACAGGACATCCTGGTCCATTGTTTGTATGTGACAATGTTGGAGGAAAAGGAAATTTAAATAGAATACAAGTTTGATTTTTTTCCCCCCCAGGACTGGGGATTGAACTAGGTCGTAATGCATGCAAGGCAAGTGCTTTACTACTGTGCTAGTCTCAGTCCTTTGTGTGTGTTTGTGTGTTTATGTGTAGTATATATAAGTGTTTAGGAGGATATTTGTGCCACTGTTGGGTGATTCTTCAATCACTCTCCAACCTATTTTCAAAGTTTATTATTATTGTTAGGGAGGTTGCCACGTTTCTCTCCTTCTACCATGTGGGTCCCCAAGATTGAGCTCAAATGGTCATACTTGGGGGCAAGCACCTTTATCTGCTAAGCCATCTCACCAGCCCCCAAATATATATATATATATAAGATACCTGAAGTACACAAAATCAATTTATATGTCAACATTCTGGCCTTGAACTCACAGAGATCTGCCTGCCTCTACCCCCCAAGTGCTGGGATTAAAGGTGTGTGCCACCATGCCCAGCTAAATATATTTTTTACAATTTTAAAATGTGTAATTATACAGAATACTAAAATAAGCAAAATAACCTGAATCTATGCATACTAAAATTTAAAATATATAGCTACAGAAACATTCACATAAATACAAAGCGAGCTATTTAAAGAGATTACTTATGGCTTCAAGGCTATTTTCTTCTATACCTTTTTCAACTTTTTGAAGTATGTTTTATTGGGCTTATAGGCATGAAGCACCCAATAGAAATATGGACAGTTGTAGGCATACCTGTGAAGCCATGTCTCCCATCATATCTGTCACCTTTGCAAGAAAGACTTGCAAGAAAGAGTTCAATTCTCAGTCTGACACAGTGTGGGCACAGAATGCTCCTCAGCCCTGCTCCTGGGTCCTTCTTCCACCACTTCCCACCACCATTGGGATGGTACTTACTACATCCATCCTCATCGCTGTGGTCCCCACAGTCGTTGTCTCCATCACATTGCCACTGGGCGGGAATGCAGGTACACTCGCCGAGGGCACTCACTGCACATGTGAAGTGGCTCCGACCACAAGCACACTCTGGGCTGCTGGCTAGGCCTGGGCAGAGGGGAGAGGAACCAGGAGGGGCTCAGCTCCTGTTCAACCAAAGCCTATAAGGGTGAGGAGAGAAGCCTAGTCCAGGGGTACCATCAACCAAGGAGCCATGGTGACTGAGCGAGGGAGTTGCACATGATATAATTGAGCCTTCCTCCCTCCCCTAGGGTAGATATGGTCTGAAAGACACCCTCAGACTTTGGGGTCATGGGTAGCACAGTTGCCTTGTTTGTGACAGGACATTTTGACATGGTATCGGGGAGCCCAATGAAGACACAGAGGAAGTTGGTGCTCATAGGAAAGGGGAGCAGGGAGTGAAGGGATGCTACTAAGAAGCCTCTACATATGTCCCTCCAAAACTTGGTTGAGAAATGGATGTTCCTAACCCTATCCTGAACCAGGTCCTGTCACGTCAACCAGAGGGAGGAAGAGAAAGCGATGGAAATAAAATGCTAGAGCTTCTCAGTGTTAAGAAATCCATCCTCGGGCCAGGCATGGCGGCACATGCCTTAATCTCAGCACTCGAGAGGCAGAGGCAGGCGGATCTCTGTAAATTCAAGGCCAGCCTGGTCTACATAGTGAGTTCCAGGACAGCTGGGGCTACAGGGAGACCCTGTCTC